TGTGAAAATAAAATGTGTAGCATCTGGAAATCAAAATGAGAGGTATAATTTTTTGTCACGACCTCTTTCTTTCAAATTCTTGCCGCCATCCAACTCATTAGTACTCTGGCTGATAATCACTAATTGAATACTTTTTGTCTGCAGCATTCTCATCAGGGGGATAGTGTGTAGCAAGAACATTACGCACAAGCGAATGACATCGCAGTACAAAAATCCAAGGGTGCTTCTTTTAGCTGGGTCTCTTGAGTATCAGAGAGTTGCAGGCCAATTAGCATCCTTTAACACGTTGCTTCAACAGGTTGGTGTTTTACTATTTCTTTATGATGAATGATGCATAAAATCTCTGATTACAAGCTGAACCAAACTCTTTTTTTTCTGTGCTGGACAGGAAAATGAACATATGAAGGCGATAATAGCAAAAATAGAGTCCCTTCGTCCTAATGTTCTGCTGGTAGAGAAAAGTGCATCGTCATATGCCCAGCAATACCTTCTAGAGAAGGAAATTTCATTGGTGCTCAACGTGAAAAGGTCATTGCTGGACTGTATAGCCCGTTGCACCGGTGCTGTTATTTGCCCCTCAGTAGATAGTATCGGTACTGCTCGATTGGGTCATTGTGAGCTGTTCCGGACTGAGAGAGTGCTGGAACAACATGAAGCTGGCAACCAGCCAAACAGAAAGCCATCAAGGACATTGATGTACTTTGAAGGGTGTCCTAGGCGTCTAGGTTGCACGGTATGCTTAAAGCTTGAACCTTTCTAGCTTAATAGTATGCTACTGTAAATTGTTCACCAGTTCTTCATTCTCAACTTGATTAAACCTTTCTGAAACTTGTGCAGGTTGTGCTTAGAGGGAGTTGCCGCGAGGAGCTGAAGAAGGTTAAGCACGTTATTCAGTATGCTGTTTTTGCAGCTTATCATTTATCATTGGAGACATCATTCCTTGCGGATGAAGGTGCTTCTCTGCCTAAAATTAGACTGAAGCAACCGGGGATGGTGCGGACAGCATCACAAAGGAGAATAATTGATGAAGGCATTTCCCTAATAACTCAATCTCCTACAAAAACTGATGGTCAAGCTTTGGTTGATACTGCTGCAAATGAAGATGAAAATGTAGCCCCAATGCCAGAGCATGAGGTTTGTGAATCATTGTGCGAGGATTTTGATCCTAGTCAGATTTTCCCATTGTCTTCTGGGATAATATCTTCTGAAGTTGAGACTGAACAATCTGATGCCCTGAATGGAGATTTTTCCAATAATTTGGTTACAAGATCATACTCGTTGAACCAGTTAAATGATATGCAAGAACACACTCTGTGCTTGAGTAGTGAAATCCATGAAACAGTGACTCAACTACCGAGAGGTGAAGAAGAGTACAGCAGAAATGAAGAAGAAAACCAATTAGTGAACACCCACGACTTGTCACAACATGAGAGATACGATGAAGATGATGTATCCAGCGAATATTTCTCTGCTGCGGACTCTCATCAGAGCATATTGGTCTCGTTTTCAAGCCGTTGTGTTCTGAAAGAATCAGTATGTGAACGCTCACGACTCTTGCGGATCAAATTCTATGGATCATTTGATAAACCTCTCGGAAGATACTTGAAAGATGATCTTTTCGATAAGGTAGCTCTTTAATCTGAAATGTCAATCCACTCTTTTCGTCTTTCATAAGTGCCATATAATAAGCAGTCTAATTTTTATACTCTTCTGTTTCCTATCTCTTGACAGAATTCAAGTTGTAGATCCTGCAAGGAGCTGGTTGATGCGCATGTCCTCTGCTATTCTCATCAGAATGGAAACCTTACTATCAATGTTAGACGTCTCCCTTCCATGAAGCTTCCTGGTGAACAAGATGGGAAGATATGGATGTGGCATCGCTGCTTAAGATGTGCACATGAAGATGGAGTCCCACCTGCTACTCGTAGAGTTGTTATGTCTGATGCTGCTTGGGGACTGTCTTTTGGAAAGTTTCTGGAGCTTAGCTTTTCGAATCATGCAACTGCGAATCGCGTTGCATCTTGTGGCCATTCACTACAGAGAGACTGCCTTCGGTTTTATGGGTAAACACTGTTCAGTCCCCTCTCTAAAGTTATCTTAAAGTAGTTGAAGTACTAATAAATTATGGTTCTGTTTTTGCAGTTTTGGAAACATGGTTGCGTTCTTTAGATATTCTCCCATCAATATACTTACTGTCCTCCTACCTCCATCAATGTTGGAATTCAACAGCCATCCTCAACAGGAATGGATACGGACAGAAGCTGCCGAGGTAGATTTTAAGAAAATTTCAAGGCTCTTTTGTTGCTTCAGGTTTTGGATATACGCAAAACTCATTACTTTATGTTTGTGCATTTGACAGCTTGTTGGTAAAATGCGGACTATGTATGCGGAGATATCTGGTGTGCTCAACCGTATGGAAGAAAAAAGCAGTTTGCTTGAACCTGAACAATCTGAAGCCTCTGATCTGCAGAGTCGTATAATGGGATTAAAAGATCAACTCGTGAAAGAAAAAGATGAATATGATGTGAGCATCCGATTCTTTTGCTTCTGTTTCCCGTTTTTTTTAAACTGCTTGGGCTTCTGAAATCTTGATGATGCTTGTTGAATTTGCTATTGATACTATCTTCCTCATCATGTACAGGATGCACTGCAACCTATCTTTGTGGAGGATCTTCAAGTTCAGGGGAGTTTAGATATTCTAGAGCTGAATCGACTGAGACGGGCTCTCATGATTGGAGCTCATGCTTGGGATCATCAGCTTTACTTGTTAAACTCTCAACTCAAGAAAGCATCTGTCTGTAAATCTGGAGATGGCAATGCTTCTCGGAATCCAGAGGTGCAGGATGCTCCCAAGATCGAGCCTATACAGCAGGAAGGTCAAGATGAGGGGGAAGAAAAAGCACATACTGATTCAGAAGCTAATGGTGATAACAAAGATACGGAAAACATGCCTTCACCTGGCACTTCTCTGTCTGAGAGGATAGATTCGGCGTGGTTGGGTTCGTTTCAAAATCTAGAGAAAGCCGAGACAATTGCTGATACAGAAGGGTTTTCAGCTGCTAATTCTCCTCTCCGAAGGCTTGCCAGGCCAATTCGGGTCCAGTCTTTTGATTCAGCGATACGATTTCAAGAACGGATCCAAAAAGGTTGGCCACCGTCCTCTTTGTATCTCTCGACCCTCAGATCATTCCACGCTTCTGGCGAGTACAGGAATATGGTGAGAGACCCTGTTTCAAATGTGATGAGAACTTACTCACAAATGTTACCGTTGGAAGTACAAAAGTTGGATCTGATTGTTGGTTCAGTACCTACATACATCTCTTCAGCATCTCAAATGGCTGATGGAGCGCGGATGCTGATCCCTCAACGGGGCCTCAACGATATTGTGGTTCCTGTATATGATGATGATCCCGCAAGTGTTGTATCTTATGCTATAAATTCCAAGGAATATAAGGAGTGGATCGTTAACAGAGGTATTGCTACTAGTAGTAGTAGCAGCAACTTGAATAACAGAGAGTCCGAACCCTCCACCTTCTCGACTTGGCGCTCTTTGTCGATGGATGTTGATTACATTCAACACGCCGTGTATGGGTCTTCTCAAGACGATAGAAAGTCTCCGCATTTGACAATTTCTTTCAGCGACCGTGCTTCTTCGTCCTCTACTGCAACTGAAGGTAAAGTGAAGTTCTCTGTGACTTGTTATTTTGCAACGCAGTTTGAGACTTTGAGAAAGACGTGTTGTCCAACCGAAGTGGACTTTGTGAGATCCTTGAGCCGGTGTCAAAGATGGTCTGCACAGGGAGGGAAAAGCAATGTTTACTTTGCCAAGTCATTGGACGAGAGGTTCATCATAAAACAAGTAGTCAAAACCGAGCTGGATTCTTTCGAGGATTTCGCACCTGAATACTTCAAATATATGAAGGAGTCACTCAGTTCCGGGAGCCCAACTTGTCTTGCTAAGATTCTCGGTATCTACCAGGTAAGCACAGTATAGGGATTGTAATCTTGTGGGACTTTGGAATGGAGTTCTTAAGCATGTAAATGATTGATTGTAAATGCTATGGATTGCAGGTTTCAATTAAACACCCGAAAGGTGGAAAAGAGACGAAAATGGATTTGATGGTGATGGAGAATCTCTTCTACAACAGAAGAATATCTAGGATCTATGATCTTAAGGGATCTGCAAGGTCAAGGTACAATCCAAACACATCGGGAACTGACAAGGTTTTGCTGGACATGAATCTGCTTGAGACACTGCGTACAGAACCTATATTCCTAGGTAGCAAGGCCAAGAGAAGCCTAGAAAGAGCCATATGGAACGACACAAACTTCTTGGCTGTAAGTGTGATTTCATTACCTGCAAGTCATATTTTGTTCTTGAATAAGTTTTACTTAATCTGTTTACTGATTATTCTTTTCTGGTTAGTCTGTGGATGTAATGGACTATTCATTGCTGGTTGGGTTTGACGAAGAGCGGAAAGAGCTGGTTCTTGGAATCATCGACTTCATGAGACAATACACATGGGACAAGCACCTTGAGACATGGGTGAAGGCCTCAGGCATTTTGGGTGGACCAAAGAACGCATCTCCAACCATAGTCTCACCAAAACAGTACAAGAAGAGGTTTAGAAAGGCCATGACCACTTATTTTCTCACTGTTCCTGAGCCATGGACCTCTTGAAGTGAAACATTTTTCATCATTCTTTTGTTTACTGATTCCAATTTGTTCTCAAATAAGAAAAAGGGAAATTGGTTAACATACAGATATAATACAGGTTCGAACCTGACTGATTGATTTATCTTTATTTTTATTTTTTTTCATTCTGGTGTGTTGGTTTCTCTAAGTATGGAGAATTGTATATTGTAATTATCTCGGCCAAACTAAAGCCCCCCCCCCCCCCCAAATTTAAAGAAAAAAAATACTAATGATTTGCCTTTTTCTTACATCTCTTCTCTTTTGTCTTAATTCATCCTTTTTCTCTGATCTTTGACACAGAAACTGATCAAGTCATGTAAGGGTAACAGAAGCAAAGATGTGTTTACAAATGTTGATGCTACATTATAAGTTAAGTATCTCCCTTAAGAACATTGTGTTTTGTATGTACAGTAATACCCCTGGTCAGACTTGCTTCAATCATCTTTCTTTAAACTAAACTAAAGATAATAATAAAAATAGAGGAAAACAAATAGAAATCACAGTCACAGACTCACAGGTCTTCTGCTTTGCTCTTTTCAAGAAATCTAACCCTTTTCTGCAAATTAAAAATATCAATGAGAATTTTTCTTGAAACAATTCAAATTTTAGCTTCCACTTGTTAGTTTATATATTTTTTTCTCTTCTTAATTTAGGATGGAGTAGAAGAAGTTGTAACACAAGTCTAAGTTGGTAAACGCACAAGTTGGAGCACATTTGTTGTAAGCAAGAAACGTGGCTTGAGAAACGGATCGATGTTTCAACAAAAAAAAAAGAAAGAAAGATCAAAGTGTTTTAAAAGAATTGATCACCTCATGGGACTTGACACCTTCATCATCTCCTTCTTCAATCCCAAAGCTTCTTCCTCCATTACGAAGCAAATGTTGTCTCTGATGAACCAAACCAGTTGGTATGTTAAGGAGACAAAGTGCTGCCATCTTGTTGGAGAAATCAGAGCCACTCTCACTCTCTTTCCTCAGTTTCTCAACTTTCCACTTTGGTAACTTTAACGTCACGCTGCTCACTTCTCTCTCTTTATCATCAACCTCCTCCGTCTTCATTACCGAGAGATCAGACGATGATCTACGAGACAACTTCAGATTCTCTAGCCTCTCCTTCGCACTTATCTGAATTCCTGACCGAACCCTTCTTGGGGTTCTCTCTTTCCATGTTCTGCCATGTGGGTTACCATGATTACTATAGAAAAAAAAATCCAACTTTGAATACCAAAAACCAAGAGAAAAAAAAGTTAGGAATATAATTGATACCTTGGAAGTTCCACCATGAAGTAAAGCCTTTTGGATTCCAAGTTTTGGTGTGGCTCTAAGGGCTTTGCTCTGACCCCAAATTGCCTCACCGCTTCAGATTCCAAAAGAACGTGTCCCGGGAAATCTTTAATTACCGTACCAGCTTTCACAGGCGTCTTCAGCTTGAAACTCTCACCATTGATGTTCATGATTTTCGTAGTTTTCTTGCTTCCCAAGCTATTACCCATTTTGAGAAATGTTTATGTAGGTTTACCAAAACTATGAGCTTTTCAAGTCCACCAAAAGTTAAAGAGCTCAGTAGTTAGTTCAAGGTGGGTGTTGTGTTAGATCAGATCATTCATTATAGATTTGTGGATTGATTTATGGTTGGTTGCTGATGATAGTGAACCATTTTTTGGTCAACAAAATGCCAAAATCTTGAAAAATTATTTAAAACAATGGGAACACAAAGTTACGTCGCATTTCACTATCAATCTTGAAAAAGAAAACCTATAACAACCCAAAAAAATCATGTTTAATTAACAAAATAAAACTAATTGAAATTGACTATGTGTACTGTTCTTCACTTAAGAGACCTTAGTTTATGTCCAAGAGGGGGATGTGGTTTTGGAACTTTTGTGACCAATGTTTTTTTGCGGAAAATGACTTCTTGCGTTAATCACTCCGATTAATCTGGGAATATTACGTTGTCGAAAACATTTGTTTTTTTCTTTTTCACAAAGGCACGTGAAGAGATTTTGACTTTTAACGAATTGGAAAACAAAAGCTGATTTGATTTCTCTTTCCCACACGAACAGTAACTAATGCACGTGAACCAATCCCGTGAACGTAAGAAACAAAGCTTTGTTTTTTCTTATTACAAAATTAACAAATCAATACAAAGGTGAGTGAGTAAGAAAGAGTTCGATTCTCGTAACTCTTTTTTTTGACTCAACCTTCTCAAATGGGAATATTAATTAAATTAGTTTTCCAAAAAAAAAAAAAAGCAGATCGTAGTAAACAGATCAGTAGAAACAGCTTTGTTGTTGTTGTTGTTGTTAAGGGGATATTTAGAGTGATGCTAATTTTTGTGATGATTTACGGAGAAGCTCTAGTAAAGAATTAGCTTTCCGCTTAGCTCTCTCTGTACCGTCTCTTGATAGTTCCATCAACGGAACAACAGCTCCAAGTCTACCAATGGAGATTAGTTTTTCAGTATCTCTCTTGCAAAGAGACAGCAGTATCGCTGCTGCGTTCTCTCGGTTTCTAGGTTGATCTTTCTGGAGACATTCTATCAAAGGTGGTATCACGTTGGCTCTCAGAATCGCAACTTTTGCGTCTTGGTTACTAGCTAGAACTGAGAGTATGGTCAAGGCTTCCTCGGTCATCCTGTGGCTAGAGTCAGTTAGCATTTTCACCAATGGCTTTACAATACCGGCTCTAACCGCTCTGCCTTTGTTTCCCTGATATATACACAAGTTAAACAGGGCCGTAGCTGCGTCTTTCTTCCCTCTTGTGCTTCCGGTCTCAAGCAGATTCACTAAGGCCAGTATCGCACCGGATGCGCCTATTATGATTTTGTTCTCATCAGCTAACGAAAGGCTAAAGAGAGTAGCTGCAGCGTTTTCTCTAGCTTCCATGGTTCCAGCTCGGAGGACTTGCACTATAGATGTGACTGCGCCAGCAAGCATGATCAATTCTTTGTTGTGTTCGTATATGGAGAGGTTAAGAATGCAAGTGACAGCATTTTCCTGCGTTTCAGTGTCATCTGAGGTCAAAAGATTGACCAAAATAGGGATGGCTCCTGCTTCTGCAATCAGAATTCGGTTGTCCGTGCTTCTTTTTGACAGAGAGCGGAGTTCAGAAACTGCGCTCCTGCGGTCTTCAATTGATCGAGTAGCGAGTTTGCGAACCAATGCCCGGATCGCTGACATGTCTCCACTTAGATCACGGAAAGAGCCATCACAGTTTTTGGTCCTACCGTTCATATAACCACCTGGCTGCTCAATGTTGTGCTTAGTACACCACTGAGAGATCAAGCTTCTGAGAACAAAGTTTGGAGTAAGAGTGAAGTTTTCGAGTTTCTGCTGGGTCTTTGGACATCTCAGATTTCCACAGTCTATCCATCTCTGTATGTACGACCTTTCGTATGTCTGTCAACGAAGAGGGAATATCATTGTTAAGGTTTCAAATCAACAACCATTAGTAAGCACTAAGTAAAGTTTTGATATTTCAAATCAGACCTGTCCTGTGGAAACAATAGCAGGATCCTTCATCAGTTCCAGAGATATTGGACAAAGAAAATCCTCTGGGATAGTGAGGTTATCCGATTTCTTTGAGTCGTCAGTGTTCTTGGTAACTGCTTTCTCTAATCTCTCATCATCAGCATCCTTTGATAAAAAGAAGGCCAGGGAAACTGAAGAGCTCTTCCCAGGAGGCGGTGATTCAAATTTCTTCACATCTGATAAAGGAATGTTAGAATACACTGTTTCCGGAATGCTGTCAAGTTTTTCAGTAACTTTGCTCTTTGTATTGCTTGAGGCATCTTTCACCATTGGCTCAGATAGAGCACTCGAGAACTTTTTTGAATTTAAAGATCCATATCTCTGCATTGCTCTTCTTAACTGTGATCTAGCTAGTTCCACCTAATCACAAGCCAAACACCTAATAAACACCTCCAGACACAGGAATGCCAAAATGTCCAAACACTCTGCATATATATTACTCATGGAATGAACTCTTTACCTGTTCACGGACTTCGTCAGAGATGTCATATCGATCATATGGCAAATTGCCTAATGCTTTCTCCAGCTTCCAAGTAACGCATTGGAACTGAAATGAGATTCTCTTGGCTGCCCCATCCTTTAATCAAAGATTACATCACAAAATGTCAACAACAATAAATCAACATCAGCATATCATTATCATGTTACAACTTCTAGCTACAAAAACTTTTCTTAATCCTCCGAGCAAATGTTATTTTTCCGGCGTGTTTCCATATAAGACGGTCATATCCAGATAACTTAGACCTTGATGCATTATACATTGACTTCATGAATTCGATTCCATTTCTTAGAAGACGAAGAAGTCAGTGGTTAAGAATGCTTACAGAGGACTCCCGAGCTTGGAAACTAGTAGCTGAAGACAAAAGACGCTTCGCGGCTTGAAGCCCCACCACAAGATCAGACCACCAATCACATTCACGAGAACTCAAAGAAGACGAAGCATCAGATTCCTCCGGCGCCGGAGGAGAAGAATCCCTAATCTCCTCAATCAAATGCGTCAAGAGACCAACTCGTCGCGCGAGATCGGCACAATCCTTCCTAAACACACCGGAGTTCACCGGAATCTCAACGATTTCGGTAATAAAACCGATCAGAGAAGCGGGAGTGATAGCTCCTCCAGCCATTACGCCGTCACATACGGTGGCTCAGAATTCGAATTTGGTACTCTCGCTTCTGAGTTCTGACTATGTGTCTGTTTATTGTATCGCTGGCTTTTATGTATCCAACGAAGCCATGTGCCGAAAATAAAAGACAAGTCGTTATTACGACACCGTTTCGTGGTTAACCTACAAAAATGGTTTAAAATTTTTAATTTAGGTAAAAAATATAAATAAATTTATGTAATACTACAATTAATACAAAAATAATAGAGGAATGGAACAAACTAGATATAATTGAGAGCGAGATTCGCGGTGTAAGCAAGAGGATACAGTTGTCGTATAATTCAATTATTATGATTTTGTATTTTATGGAACCAAAACTTTATAATATATAGAAACGAACCATACTTTTTATTTAAAAAATCAACAAAAATTGCACTTTTTATATTTGATTTTAAGGAATTGGTTTGTTGCGTGCTTGGTTGTAAAGCCGACCCTATATTATTATAGTTGTGTTGAAAACTTGAAATTGTATTTTAATTGGGTTGTAAGTAGGCATGACCAAAAGCTAACCTTAACCGTATTTTTAACCGTAACCGGACCGTTTATCAACCGTAACCGGACCGTAACCGTATAAAACGGTTAAAAATTGTAACCGTTAACCGTAAAAGTAAATTAGTTACGGTTAAAAAATAATAATAACCGTAACCGTTAAGTAACCGTAACCATAATTAACCGTAATTAATCGTCGGTTAACCGTACGGTTAAACGCTCGGTTAACCGCATATTTAAAATTTTAAAATAAATTATATTATAACTGTATACAATACCCAGATTTAACTAATTCACTATAAATAATTGAAATCACATATATTTTTTACTTGTAAAATAAATAATATTTCATAAAATTTTATCTCCAATATTAATATTATAATAATCATCAAATAACTGTAACTGTATTTAACCGTAACCGTAATTAACCGTAACTGTATATAACCGTAACCGTCTTAACCGTATATATAATGATTAAGGTTATGGTTAAAAAATTATAACCGTTAACCGGTGGTTAATTAACCATAACCGCATTAACCGTAACCGTGGTCATGCCTAGTTGTAAGGAACAAAAGAATCGGCCAATGATATATAGTCATCTTAATCTTGAATGGTAATTAAAAGGTCATAAGTAGCTCAATTTTTATCTATGATAATAATTAAATTAAGACAAAGATTCACTTTGTTAGCATGTTTAGATGCATTGTATTGATTAGTACATGTCTTTCTTCATGGTATATATATAATCCTTTTACATCTGTCTTACACTAAGAATTTAAAGATGCATGTAATAAAGACATTTTTTTTGTAACTATAGCTTTATACGTTTTATTTTCCTTTAAAAATTGTTTTTTTATGTGTAATTATAGTTTCTTTGATCTTTTCATTCGTTACTTTTCAAAATCTCTTTATTTCTTTATAACACAACTTTTTTAAAAAAAAAGTAGCAGGGTTATTATTATTATTATATACTTTTTGAGATTTATTTTTCGCAGGATCCAAGACAAACTCATTTGAAAGACATGATAGACACTACGACAACATTTTAATATTTCACCCAAAAACTATAATTGTATTAAGTCACAGATTATTGAACCATATCGTAAGCAAAACTTTGGCCACGCAAACACTCTTGTTGAGTTGTTGTATTTGCTGACTCCATCTCCCCCAAGTTGGCCACGCACACTCATCTCATGGTCCTTAATGTCCGTGTAATATCCTAGTTTGTTATATTCATCAAAACATAAAGTTTGATACATTGTATATACTTAGTAACATTATATATATGTAAATCGTTAAAATCTTTGACTCGTAAGCCATACAATGTGGCAAAGTTTAGCAAAACATAAACTAGTTTGAGGATAACTAAGTACATATATATCTCCCATGAACATATATATACTGCAAATTAGCATATTTGGGTGAGCATCATATAAAACTGAACCATACTCTAATACTCTAATATATGCAAGTGGAGCAGCTGAACATGTATGATCCCAACTTTAGAGAACAAGTTTAATCAATAGAATCATATTCAAAAACTATTTTACATTATTTAAATAGTTTTGATAAAAGTTTTGAACAGAGTGTATACAAGAATTTGAAAAGGTTTAAAAAGTGATATCGGTTTAAAAAAAAAAGAAAGAAAAGTTCAACTAGCTAGGATCATGTCCACATCGACAGCATCCTCCATGCCCGTGACTTCTGCATCCTCCATAATAACCATTAACAACTTGTAAAAATAGACAACATTATATTATCTCTTTTAGACGTATTTGGGAACTTTGACCGGCTGGTTTCGTAATAACCTTGAAGTGTTTGATACGGCATGCATGTGATTGTTGCCCTCAACATCTACAAAGTACAGTACAACTCTCTCCATAGACCTCATTAGATTCCTGACATTTATTATAAATACTATTCATCAGTAACAATATAAACTGCCACACAATATTTATGTGGTAAATAATGTAGTTGTCGATCAATATTCAAAGTGAACACTTATGATAGTGAAGGTGAGATCTGAGTTAGTTTATGCAGTAGTGGAAACAACTTCATTGATGGTTGTAGATTCTGTAATACTAGTGTAGTACAAAACAACTTCATATATATATATATATATATAGGTCAATTTTCTCAGCAAACATTCATTTTCTTTGGTCATACTCATACAGTTCTGTAGATGATGTTTGAATAGCGGTTGTACACAGGTAATTTACGTACCACATGCAAATAGTTTAAACACAATTCAATTATCTAATTATTACAAAGCATGGTTATAACATCACAGATCACATTTTACATTCTCATGAAGTTGCTGCTATTTTTTAAAAAATCTTTGTATGCCAATAAACTATATATGGTAAACTACATGGAATTACTCATTTTTCTGTGTCAATATCAGAAAGGGATATATACAATATACGAACCGATGGCTAAAATGTTTATCCTAAAGTCAAATTCGAAGAACATATATAACATAAATTTCTTGTTATGGTGTTTGTACGAGTTGATGAGCTAATATTGACTTATACTCTCCATGCTTAAGACGTATATCCTTAAGTAGATAAATATTTTCTTTTCGTTTTGCTTCCGTTATATGTTTTAGTAAGTAATTTTTGTATTGATATATAGATTCCATTTTGCGAAAAGGGCGTTTTGTATTGCTTTTGCATAAAGAGTAAAGTGTAGTTTGGTGGAAGATGAACATACTTGTCCATTTTAAGAGAGTTTATTAATGCTTCCCGTCAATGTGCACTGAACATCCATATAGCTCCATTAGCTAATTTCTTACAGCTTGACTGATCCAATTTATTTGTCGTCGGTTTGTTATCAACGGTTTACTACTAGTACTAGTTACTGCTAATAGTTTCACTTCATTGAAGACGAGACCAAACATTTAAAGAGAATAGTTGTTCAATGAACAACCTGTCCAATTCAGGATTAACATATGTATCTCTTTAGTGAAATATTATAATATATGCATGCCTTGTAATATAACATTATATAGCAAGATTGACTACAAAGAAAAACATGAATTTTTACTGGAATAGAATAAGCGTTTCCTGACCGGTTGAACCATGGTTAGAGGAATCGTTAGAGTCCTGAAGCCAAGGAAGTGGCAAAGAAGTCGCGGTCGGGATGAGACCGATGTTGAGGTCAGGCAAAAGAGTTTTTCCGGTACTAGTACTACCCTCCGAGCAATTGGTACTTGAAATGGGTAAAAATGTTATACCACATGATTCGGATACGGAAGAAGACTGATCACTAATGATCTTGGTTTCGAGTTCCTTATGCGAGGGATTGGGGCAGCGTCTGGAAATGTAGCTGGCGTGATGGTGGAGACGATGATTGGTTGGGTCGATTCCCATTTTGATGAGTTTCCTCTTTAAGTAAGTTTCCCAATGGATCCTAACTTCGTTGTCGGTTCGTCCAGGCAATCTTCCCGCTATCAATGACCATCTGAATAACAAAGTAACATCACATTTTAACTGTCACAATCCCATTCACATTACATCCAATACTAAACTAAAGTAGAATGAAAGAATGAATGAGAGAGAACCTATTGCCAAGAAGTGCATGAAGCTTGAGGAGGAGGTCGTCTTCGTCTTTTGAGAACTTGTTTTCTTTAACTTCAGGCCTCACGTAGTTTCTATCTCTCAATCGACATCTCTTAACACGGTGTTGCACTCCTATTAAAAAAATAAAAATAATAAGGGATCAATGAGTTGTTTGTACATAAACTTCTCAAACTATGAATAATTTTGGTCGTATATATGACATGAATAGCAAAACACAAGATTGTTACTGTTTCAAAAGAAAATAGTTACCGGAAGACGGAGAGAGAGCACGGTGGCGGATTTTGTTCATGTCTTATTCAAAGGTTGAGTTCTGTTTTTTTTTTTTTTTTTTTAAACAGTTGATTAATTGTGAGGTTGATTTGCGAGAAGCAACTGATGATATATAGGAGTTACTAGGGGGATGGATAGAGAGGATAGAGGGTTGACTTGGACTGGTGGGTTGAGAGAATCGTGCAGCAAAAAAAAATAATTGAACGAGGAAGAACAAGAAGAACACATCAACCTTGTTAATATATTGGTCCCATATTTGTTCCAATCCAATTGATATTATTAGTAGTGTTTTAAATGTGTAAATGATATGTCACAATCCAAATCTCCCTCCTCTTATCCACATTTTCGTTAAATATATGTATGATCGATTTGTATATGAAAATATCAAATATACTGTCTGTTTGTGTGTGGTATCATATCAAACTATATAAACAAATGATAGATTCACTAAAATATAGTATTGTTAACCAAGCAAGAAGAAGACAAAGTAGATATTTAAGGAGTGGCTCAAAGTTCATTGGATGTATTATTTGGTTTGAAAAGAAAAAAAAAGATGATAGAAGTTTCTGAATGATATGAAAATAGAACAAATTAAGAGAGAAAAAAAAAGAAAAAGAAGGGGACAAATTGAAGAGTGTTGGTTCAGAAACAGATAAGGGGAGAATCATAAGCATTCAATTTGGATAATTTGACTGGTGGTTACGACTTTAGGATTTTTTTTTCTTTCCATTGCACTCACCTCTCTCACTTACCACCTACCACAAAATATCAAACATCCAAATAAGAAAGCACAACTTTTTTGTTATTGGGCCGGTTAAAGCCCGTAAATGTTAGACAAAAATATTCATAAGATTTTTTTCGATATTTCATGTAGTCTCAATCTACACATGATCGGATTCCGTAATTGTAAATTTGTAATTGACGTATAGAACCATTTAACATTTTGGTGAGAAGACACTAATTGTATGTTGTCACTTGACCATCGCAAAGGGCCTCATCATCATATTGTCTTCGTGGTCCAATATCTACAATTCAATAATATATAGTTAGTTCTAAATTAAAAGCCAAAGTAAAAAAAAATAGTTATCAAAATTTTAGACTAGCTTACGTGACAATGGTAGACGTAGCCTGGCTCTTGAGTAGCGTCGAAGGCGTAAGATTCATTGGAGTGAATGTAAGAAAATCTAACGAGGATCTTCGTTACATGTCCAGGCATCATCTTGAATACGTTCTTCCATCCCCTCTCGTGCGCCGTCACCGCAGTTTTGTTCCCGATTGCGTACTTGTTGATATTGCACTTGACGGCGTCGTTTCTCTTCGTCATGCAGTCGGTGAACTCCTCAGTCTTCACCAAGGCCGTCTGCTCTAACACTTTGAACAACCCCAAGTGAATATGCAACGGATGGTTATCTTCAGTTAGATTGATCACTTCCCACACCTTCATGATTTTAGAGATATCATCAAATATTTAAACTAGACAGTTGATATTGTGTAATATTAATGAATATACCTCGCTGGTGCCTATTTTAGGAGTTTCTGTTATAGGAGCATTGTATGGCAAGCCATTGATGTAAAGATGTGTTGGCTCGTCAGCGCTTGATACATACTCGAACATGGCGATGTAACGTGTACGGGACGAGGTTGATACGTGAGCAGGAGGGTATTCGATAAGCTTCTTTGGAATGGTCGATGTGTCAACTTCTGATTTGTTCTTGATTATAAACTTCATGACTTTGCTGTTCTCTTCCGTGACAGGATCTCCCGAAGGGTAAGGATAAGGTGCATTGTTAGCTAGGATTGCTGTTTCCGACTTTGATTTCGAGAAGTCAACAACAACATCGATGATCTCTGATGGAGCTAGGAGAACTGATTTGGTTCGTTCCGGTTTTGATAGATATGCCGAGTCAGAACCAATGACGGTAAAGTCAAGACCGTTGGAGAAGAAGAACCGGAAAAACCTAGCGTTGCTAGCGTTTATGATTCTAAATCTGTATTTCCGACGGCGAACTGTTAGCCGCGGCCAAGCTTTTCCGTTCACGATGATGGCGTCGCCGAAATACTCTGGCTGCCACTGCGGATGTATGGACGGATTGTTCCCTGTGGCGTTCATGTAAATGGAGCCATCTCTACGGAAACTTCGATCGAATATGACCAGAGGACGATCGAACTCGCGGCCGGTTGGTAACCGAAGGGGCGACTCAACAGAGCTATGGCGGAGAATGTAAGCACCTAACAAACCAGCGAGAAGGTTGACTCTGGTCAAACCGGCGGCGTGGTCATGGTACCACATGTTACCAGGGTGTTGCTTGTTGACGTAATGAGTACTCTTTTTAGTCCATTTGGATCCTGTCTCTTTGAAACCAGCGGTGAACCATGAATCAGCGTTACCATCGCTGGTTGGTTCGTGGATGCCTCCATGCAAGTGAACAACCGTGGGAACGCCGCCGTGTTTAGGGATAGCCGGGGAGATCGTTGGATCCCAAGGGAGGATATGAGTTGAAGGGAGGTGATTTCGCCACGTCACGTAAGTGTCTACGCCATAAACGGCTTCTATCGTAGGTCCTGGAACTGTTGCCGTACGCTTGGATGTACCGTATGCGAACACTGGCGTGGCAGGCAAGTCTCTGTGGAACTTCTGTACTTCACAATAATTATTTAAACTCAGGTCAGTGTAACGTGACAGTGATTGAGAATTTTCAAACATTCAAATCATTAGATTAATTAGCAAGTGTAATAAAATAGTTCAAAGAAACAGAGCATGATTAGCTAGGCCAAAGTGGTGGAAAAGCAATCATAATTATATAGTTTAGTGGGTACTAATTTTTCTATCAAATAATCATTAGATTTGATGTAATTCATAGTATAATTGATCAAAACAACAAGTAAAAGAGTTTATAAACTATAACAAAAAAATGAGTTTTAAAAATTGATTAGTGATAAAAGAAAGAGCCCTTGATTGGTCAGTACTAAAACATTAGATACTTTTCTCAAGAGGACAGATGAGTGTGAGAGGACAAGAGTGGAAGACACACGGTGATATCCTATTCCCTAATCACTTTACCAACAAGAAAGAGCCGTAGCCAACTATAAAAAGTGACTAGTTTCACTAATCTATACGATTTCCAATATTTTAATACGTTAATTTTTGTCATTAATGAGTTTAGATTCATAAAAATTAGCGTACTCATTTGGTGTGAAGGACAAAGTATATTCTAAATGACGAGTGTCAAACCATTGAGCATTGATTCGTCGGTACTACTATAGCATTATTGTTATGCTTTTATTTTTATTCTCAAGACGACAAATAATTGAGCTAGGGGACAAGATAGTATGTGAACACGAGAAGAATCTATTCTAGATCACTTTGCCGTAGCCAAGCAAAAAGCGAGTGTAGTAGCTTCCCTAATCTATACGATTTTGAATTTTAATGCTCATGTTTTTGTCGCTAACGAAGTTTAGATTTTAACATTAATTACGAAATTTTATTTAGTCAACAAAATTTGTTTTTGCATGTAATACAGGTGTATGTCACTAAATGGTGGTTTTGCGATCTCTATCTAAATATTTTGGCCATTTATAACCTCTGGACATAAAAGGAAGATGATGTGTCTTCACGATCGACTGTAATATCATAATTTTCTAACATACCAAAAATATCTCCAAGAAAACATAGCAAAGAAGGAAATATACGACCGAGAAAAAAGGAATTTAGCGAAATGAGAAACGACTACAGACTGTAAATTGAATTCAATCATACCAAAAATATTTAGCTTCAAGAAACCAAAGAAGGAGAAAAAGAAAGAATCGAAATGAGTATAAGGTAAGAAAAGAGATACCCATTTCTTGAAGAACATGCCGATGTGAAGAGATTTGGGTTTGAGTAGGCCATTTACAGAGTGGAAGCCATGAAGAGTGGGTATATGGGGAAGGTCTTCAACGAACATCTCTAGCTTTTCAAGATTGAACAGTCGGTCCTCTTTCTTCGTGTCTCCTGCGTCTCCTCCGGCTACGAGCCATGTCATCGTTACTATAAGGAGCAACATGCCTCTGGCTCTGGTCATTATCCTCAGACAAGACTTAATCTCCATGTTCTTTGTCCTTCACGAGCTGTGGATTTATGTTTTTGAAGAAAAGTCTAAAGTGTGTGTGTATGTGTGGAATACTCGAAAGTTGAGAAGAGAAAGTTGAAGAAGTTGTTTGGGGTTTTGTGTATTTATACATATAATGAGTGTGTGGTGTGAAATAAACTTTCTTGGTTCTTTGCTTTGATTCTATTGACTCTTCTTGCGTCGCTCCTTTCTTACAATTTTGTTTTTTCCTTATGGGTTTTAGTGGGCTTAAGGGAGATTTGTATTGCTGACTAAAATGTGTACTCAGAAATAAAACGTGGCTACATCAAAGACTTCTCATTCATTTTTGTGCTATTAAGCAAAATAGTCTATACTTAATGGGAAATACCACTTTATATACTCAAATAAATCAAAAATTAAGGGGAGGTGTATTGAACTTCATATTTTAGAAGATTTGGTGAGATTTTAATATTCTAAGATTGAGAGATATTTGAGTGTAGATTTAGGAGATTTGAGTTATTTGTTAGAGATTTAAAATCTCTTGTGGTTGTGATTGAGAGAAATAAAGTAGAGAAAGAGAGAAAGTATAAGGAGAAGAGACAAATCGCAGAGATAGGAGTACTTATGATCAGTTTTTTTTTTTAATTGGTTTCATGCATTATTTTTTAAATCCTTCAAAGTTTCATCTATAAAGGTGTGATTTGTGAGTCATATATTCGAACTAAAAATGTTAGAAAAGTCTCTTAGAATTACATTTAATAATTTTTAGAATAAAAATTGTGATATTTTGAATAACACTAGATTTGTAATGAAATTTATATAAATTATTGATTGAATAACAAGAGATTGTGAATGATTTTATATAAATTTCATATTCAATAACATAGGATTTAACTATTTAAGAATACTTCAAAATCTCCTAAAATGTGAAGTTCAATACAACCCCCTAATTTTATAATTTTTAGTACACGTATGTATTTTTTTTTTAAAAACCTTGTTAATTATGAAAGTTGCAAAAGTAACCCATTAGTCTATATTGTTTTGTAATAGATCCACCAAAGAAAATATTGTTGAGCTCAAAAATGAACCAAAAACTTCCCAATAGTAGAGAGAGAGCCCAAAAGCCCATGAATTCGATAGGCCCAAATGGCTAAGGAAGGTAAAACCAACAGCGTCGTTCGTTGTCATCTACATTGGTCAAAATGACTGAGAGTCTATCTAGTGTCTATGTTTTGGTGTTGCTAGTCAAGAAGACTTAGAGCCGTCGATGTCTGAGGTACTGTACACGTGGAGCTTATCCGAAAGACCCATCTCCCACCTAAGCTAAAAAATTGGTGTTGTCACAATCATCAAGCAAATCGAGTAACCACCCAAAGTCCCTACCTCCGCGGGTTTTGCGTTTGCGCTTATTATTAGTGTTTGTGCCTTTTCTCGTCTCTCCATTTCTATTGTTTTGCGTCATTATCACTTTCACAAGTTCAAATCTTACATATCCTTTCTTTGTTCTGTTCAAGTTGTGTTTTTAAAGTCATAATTTAATAATCAGTCATTTCAGTTTAGTCTCAAATAAACAGTCGTTGATTGGAAATTTTGACAACAAGGTACTTAAATGTCATCTCATCTTATCCACCATAACAATTACAAAATTTTGGAATTCTAATCTTTGGAAGATCTCTCATTCTAAGGATTAAACATGTGTTTGCTTTTCTTGAGGTATTTTAATATTCCATAGTTAATTAGTTATTATTATCAAAGCATTATTTTTGAGTTTTGGTACGGACTAGTGAGTTTAGGATACACATCAAGTTGTCAACTACAAAAACATATTACAGCTTGACTATAAGGTTGGATATGTCATATGTGCATGGTGTCACAATTTGTAAGTAGAACGACTTATAGAATACCAAAAAAAAAACAAAGTGTTGTATATTAGTTTTATTACAAATGTCGAGTTACCCCAAGTACACCGTTCGGCGTCAGCAACATATCTACTTCGATTGAGGAAAAATTTATATATACTTGGTTCCGAAGAAATCTAGTTAATCGCTGCAGTTGGATCTTCGAGGTGTCCGTTAATACATAAGAGAAGATAAAAAGTTGGATATTGTATTCTATGATGACGATGTTATATATGGGTTTAGTCAGATATAAATTACACTAAAAATACTTTGATTATAATCAAACACATTGATTAACATATAGTATTACATGCTAACTTATTTTGAAAGTTGTACTCAAGTGACTATTATTTTGGTTCTCTCTTTACGTACATACACATACCAAAAAAAAGAAAAGAAAAAAAGAGCCAAAGTGATTGAAACAACGTTACGTGCGGTGGATACTACTATTAGCATATTATTTTGTCATTTATTACATAACGGTGCAAGCGTTGGGATTCTCGTCGCTAAAAAGTGATATGAAGTTGTCGTCCGGAGCTCCCGGCAGCGGCTGCAACTGCGACTGCTCAGACTTCCTAACAAAACCAGCCGGAGCTTTTTTGTCGTAAGTTCCGACTGCGTATGGATATGCGACCACGTTGTATGGAACGTAAGGCCATATCTCAGCCTTTTTCCCTGTCCCCTCCACTCTCTTCAACACCTTCTTCGGTTCCACGTACCCACTCACCGTCACTTTGTTTATCTTTCTGTTCATCTCCACTGATTTCACCCCTAACAAAGTTTACATGAAAGTAAAGTGAGGTTTTATAGAAATGAAGAGATTACAAAGAAGGATTAATAAAGAAACGATTCATGACATTAGTACTAGACTAAGAGCTGAGGAGCTTCGAACCTTTCATGGAGGAAACTGCGTTCTTGACTCTGCGTTCGCAGCCATCACAGTCCATTTTCACCTTGATATTCACCGTCTGTCACCAACATAAAGAATAAAAAAGTTCATAATTATAGGTTTTAAATGGATGAAGACATACTTTTTGAGATTTCTTAGTTTTTGGTTTGAGTAGAGCAAAACGAAGTAGACCTGCATGACTTTACGTTTCCTCCTTCTTTTGGAGACGTAGAAGTAGTCGGAGATATAATCCGAGAGAGAATCAAGAGCTCCCATGTCTCACCGAGAACAAGTCGTAGATAGATTATGCTTATATTATGGACACGACTCGACCATATTTATAGAAAGAAGTATTTGGTGACATAATTATGAACAAGTGTTATGCCGAAGGATTTAGTACACAATTAAATGTGTTTAATATTCAGAAAAGTGTAATTAGAGAGGTGTATATGTGGCCCTCTAATGATGTGATCCTCTATATACACACGGTGGGCAACGATGCCAATCTTTGGGTTCTTTCACACGACTCGGACCGATTACTAATTTGTTGCAAAAGTCTAGTATATCGGTTTTGTATTAATTTTAAAAAGCTAGCTATAACTATTAAACATTATGGCTAATTGTATGATAATGGAGCTTTGAGATAGTACAAGCTGTAGTTAATTAAAATCTTGTTTTAAAAAGTGATAATTTCTTCTTTTCTTTACAATGTCCGATAATATTGATCGGTTATAAGAAAACAAGGTCACGGGATTAGAGGTTTTATCATTCCCATCACGGCATCACCTGATTCACCTCACAGTTCACATGCGTTGGTAATGGCAATTATGTTTTTTTTTTTTTTTTTGGTAAGAAGTAATTGCAATTATGTTTGTATCAATTCTTCTTTAATTTTACCATCACAACTTTTATATTAATGTTGGTTTGTGTTTAAATAATTAAGACTCTATATATGATAGATTACAAATTTGTTTATATACCTATACTTATAGCCCTATATATAATGTCGGTATGATTATGTTACTATTCATAATTATAATCGTAGATATTGAAAAGTGAAAACGACACGAACCCCTTCTAAGTAATGTAAACTGTTTTTGTTTACTTTGGCACGATCGGATGATGAATGATACTTAGTAATAGGGTTTATAGATAAACTACACAATCACACCTTCAATTATTTCTAGTTTTAGGTAAGAAAACAGTACTTAAAGGAAACAGTAATTTGAAAGAATAGAGAAAGGAATGTAGCAATATAAAGGGGGCAATGATTCGATGAGCAAAAAATTGGGGTTGTGTGGGGGTCCGATCTTGGGAAGTAGACAACTCAATCATACTATTTTTATGTAGTCTATATAGTTTTGAAATTGTATATAAGTCATAAGCCCCTCCACATCTTTATTTTTTTGTATTAATATAATTTTCTCTTCTTTTAGTTTTGTCTTTATACTTTCCACCCTATTAACTTCGTTGTCATTTTCTTCTCTTACACCCCAATTATCATATTCTTAGACCTCTCTTTATTTATTTTTTTCCTTTTACAAAGTTATATTTTTCTATATTTCTCTTCTAAGATACTCATGTAGCTCTTTTATGTTTGAATTTCCCGGTGAGAGATAGTTTCTAATCCCAAAAATGTATATAGCAAATTTACTTGTACTACTAAGTTAATGTAAATGGTTTACCATTTTACTTAATGTTTATATAAACTTAGTTGTTTTTTTCTTTGTAAAATTAAGGCAATATTATTTTAGGAGCACAAGAGTAATGTGTGTGTCACCACAATTAATCAACTTTGAATTAAAAGTATCCCATTAGTAATTTTCTTATAACAAAAATCAACAATATGGTAAAGAGGGTTGCATTGAAATAGTCAGTGCATGACACACAAAATCTCAAGATTAACAATAAATCGTTAGCTATTATATAGCAAGCAATAGCATTTAGCATTTAGCATAGCCTCACTTTTGAATTACAGGTTTACTAATCAGGGAAACATAAGAAAGTATATGCATGTCCACATCTTCCATTTGTCAAAAAGATATAAAGTAATAACAACTGTTTTAACCATCCACTATTTGTGAAAAGAAAATTTATTATACTCCAATCGATTACTTTGATGTTTGACCCATTCTTAGTAGTTTATTAACATGGACTTGTCATTTGTCATAACTTAATTCATACACCAAAACATCCCATCCTCTGTTAGTGATGAGATGAATACTTTTTTTGCTAAATTTGATGGAGATTTTAACCAAAGAATGCTTTATTGACATGTGTATAGCTTTACAGAGCTAAACCAACGTTGACAATTAACATAGTGCAAACAAACTAGTAAAACGAAGCTACATAATAGAGATATCTAGTACTGTGTTGAACTCCGACGACTTCAAGACTATGAACAACCAACAATCATTTGAACGTACACTGGTTCCTACACCTGTGTCCGTGCACTTTTACTCGGGGAGAAAACAAATATCTAACAGCTTAGATCGCTGAAATTTTGGATAAATCTCATAGATCATAGCGAATCAATAGTCTAAATATAAACCAAAATGTAATACAGGAGACAAACAAGAAGAGAAACCTATCCGTTAATCCCCGTTTCAGCCAACAAGTTGTGTTTTCCTCAGCCTATCCATCTTCACAGCCAACTCCACAACTTTATCTTTACGGCCTTCATCGAGAAGCGTTTGTTTAAGACGGCTAAACATTTGTCCTGGTGGCCTGATACCCACATCCAACATCTCATTGAAATACTCACAAGCTTCGTCTAACTTGTTCTCATGGCACAGAGCTGTGATCAAACTCGAGAACATGTGCATTCCAGGAAGAACACCTTTTCCTTTCATCTCGTCCCAAATTTTGATCGCCATATCCAATCTCTCTTCGTTGCAGAACATCCTCACCATGATCTCATAAGTACCCACTGTCGGTTCACAACTCATCTTCTTATAAACTTCATAGGCCTCTTTTGTGCGCTGCTTTCTAGTCAAATGATGAAGAATTATATCATAAGTTCGAGCATTTGGTCCAACCCCTTTCAATCTCATCTCTTCCACTGTTTTGAATGCGTCTTCCATCCGCTGTGACCAGCAATATGCTCCAACTAGTGCGTTGTAAGTTGGAGCTTCAAGAGGAAACCCGGAACTCTTTGATCTCTCAAAGAATTCAAGAGCCTTATTCAGCTTCCTCTCAGAACCAAGTCCATTGATCAGACTGCAAAAAATGTGAGGACTTGGCTTACAATTCCTCTGTTCCATCTCATTGAAAAATCTAACAGCTTCATCATACTTTTTCGCCTTGCAATGTGCATTGATAATGATACCGTACGTAACAACATCTGGTTCAAAGCCTTCATCTTTCATCTCTCCATAAACCTCATTAACTCTCAAAAGATTCAACTCCTGACCCCAACCTTCAAGTAAAATAGTATACGACTTGATATCAGGCTCAAACCTTTTCTTTTTAATTTTATCGAACACCTTCTGTGCATCCCCAACATTTCTAGATTTGCTCAAAGTATCAAGCATTCGATTGAAATCACTTGATTCCATCTTAAACCCATACTCTTCCATCTTATGAAACGCAGTTATAGCTTCTTTAACCTTCCTAGCTCTAGCGTATCGTCTAGAGATTAGCGCAAACGTGTCTCTGCTCAAAAGCTTCTTTTGTTTCATATCGTCTACTAAACACCAAATGAGTTTGAACTGCTTGATCTTACCTAATGATTCGATCAATGCGTTGTAGCTCGCAGTAGTGTGCTTGAAACCCTTTTGATTCTCTGCCCATTTGAATACAGACAAAGCTAAAAACCCAGCGTTGCTCAGCTTCTTCAGTACTTCTTCTACCAAAGCAGGCGAAAGTTTAACAGAAGCTTCGTTCAGCAAAGTTTCAACATTTGAATCCGTGAATTTGGTCAGAACCTTGCAGATTCTCTCGGCGTCATGTGAAACATCATCAGTAGAAACTTGGGTTTCAACAGAAGGAGCGTGAAATGATTTATAAACTTTCAAGGTTGAAGCTTTATGAATCCATGGAATTGATTCGAGACTCGAGCTCGGGGACGAAGAAGAAGTGATTCTTAACAAGACACGGCGAGAGAGATTCACTCCTGCGAAGTGGAAGAATCGAGAGAAGACCATTGGAGGAAAAAAATGAGATTTTTCCTAACCCTTCAATTAACTAAGAAATAGTCGCATTTGGTCGAGTACCAATATAAAGAGATACAACAGAGTAGTTTATCAAATTTGCGAACAAAAGTTCTCTAGTGGCTTTAACAAAGGAGTTACAAAATCTGGAAAAGAGAAATCTCTTCTCTTCCTCTTCTCCTCGTATAAATACAGTAGCCACTGAGTTCCTGTTGTTGCCCAAAGAATAAACCTTACAGAGACTGAAAACAATGTAATCTCGTGTGGTGTTGTAGTATAATGACTCCAAATTCCAAACCCCATTTTCTCTTCACTTGCATTGGTTCGATTGTGAATTCAAATCATCTAGAAAATTCGTTATTGTTTCGTCTAGCTTCTTAGCTTGAGGTCCAGCTTTGACAATGTTGACTTCATCCCATTCCGAGCAAGGATCTGTCCACCAGCTACTGTGGCTCGAGCACCAAGCTCCAGGAGTGACCCGATACCGCCCACGTTTTAGGATCACTCTATCGACCATGTCGAGCACTGGATCGTCTTTCTTGAACTGCCGGGCAAAAGCTGCTCCGCTTTGAGCCATTTGTTCAAAATCTGAGTCGCTAAGGAAGTGTGGCTCCATTTTTGGCGGACTGTCCCATATCATGTACCGTAAGTCCCCGTTGACTGTTGTGTTACTGAACTCTGGCGCGTTGCAGATCACTGTGTGGAAATAGCATTCTTCAGAGAGAATGACGTTGTTAAAATACATTAGGAGGATTCTTGGTAAATTGTCCCAACCAAAGATGCAGTATTCTAGGAAAGATCTGCTCAGTACAATCCAAGGAGAGCCTGCAGTGATATCACAAACCAGCAACACAATTTGGTTAGAATAAAACTGTATGCATACAAGGGAATTAGCCACAACAAGAATTATTAGCTTGCCTGTAAAGACTTTGAAAGCATCTGGTGTTGGTCGTTTCTCAGTAGCAGTGAAGAGCTGAGTTCTTCTAGCTAAGTAAAGTGCTGGATCAACAACAATAGGCTTGATTCTCTGTGATCTACAGAAAGATCCATTATCATCATCATCCCCACAGAATATACAAGGCAAGATTAAATAAAAAAAATTACTAGAGACCAGCTTTACTTACTCTTTCCATGCAAGGTCACTAGTGTGATCAATAAAATTGACGCTTCTGTTCACCGAGGCAAACACATGGGATAGGTCTGAGAGAGGAAAAAGAGTTCATTACAAATCCAGGTCAGATGAAGACAAAAACAGAAGCAGTGGAGCAATAAAGTTCTAAAGCAGATCAATTTTGCCATAAAGAGATCTGTATCATCAATGAAAGTGATTACATTTCCACTTTATTTCCAGAAAAAAAAAAGTAGATTAATTCTACAGTATATCATGAACACTGCAATCTCAAGGCATTCAGAGACAAATCATAACAAGCTCAAAGATAGGTAAAAACAAAAATCAAGAGTGCAAATAAATCACAATCACACAGCAAAACCAAAGATTCCTACTCCCATTTAAGAAAATTTCTTTTTTGCATTCAGATATAAATAGAAAAAAAATCAAATTAAACATACCATCTTGAGTAATGAGAGGATAATCCAAGGCACTAAGCTCAATGAACCAGTTCCAAGTACGATCAAGCTTAAGAAGAATAGAAACAGCGTGAAGAGTAGCAGCAGTCTTAGAAGCACCATTATCAGACAAACGATCAACTTTGCCCAAAACATCAACATTCCCAAAAGCATTGACAGCAGGAACAGATTTCAAATCAGAGAGAAGAGCTAGCCTCTCAGCATCAGTAGCTTCAGCACCGAGATGGAGAAGATACCGGTTCCTAGGATGATAAACCGCGAGCAATAACCTAAAGATCCGGTCATTATCCCCACGACCACCGGTTATGTAATAAGCAAAAGCAGGTGGGTAATGAGGGCCGTGACGGATTGAAGAAGGGAAAGGTTTAGAAGTGAAAGCAGAGATTGAGTAGAGTAAGAGAAGGAACACTGAGAGGAACACTACAGAGAAGAGAGTGAAAAGCCATTTCTTTTCAGCTCCCATTGTTTGTTTTTTAACTTCCTTCTTCCTTATTTTCACCTTTGAATCTGGCTCCGATTGAGCATATATGCGGATTCACAGATCAAATCTGTCAGAGCTTAGAGCTCATGTATGGATCTTTTATAATAAGGAAGATGAGATCTCGGTGTGAGCAAGTCCGGGGAGAGTGAGATCGAGCATAGATTGGGATCAGACTTGATCAGATCTCAAGAAGATAGCAGAGAGAGACAGAGAGAGTGGGAGAGAGAGAGAGTGAGAATACAGGTTAGGGTTTGAGAGACGACGTAACAAAAAAGATTTGGTCTTTGGAGGCTCTGAAGAAGACAACGATTCTCAGGTACAGATTTCGATCTTCCCCGACTCAGGTCGGTTGGGAAAAACACTTTGGCAAACTTTTAACTCCATTGTTAACAGTAATTGCCATTTTTCCTTCCACCACTCGAACGTCTAGTGCGTCTCTTCCACGCTCCTTAACGAAGATATTAGTTTCCTCTTCACGCGCTTACTAGAGAGAGTGAGAATTCAAGTGAAGAGAGGTGTGTTAGAGTGGTTAACCAGACGAGGAGAGGTGTGTTAGAGTGGTTAACCAGACGAGGTGAGAGATTTGCTTTACTAATTAATTTAATTAAAGAGTAGACAAGGGACAAGGACAGCTTTAATTACAAGATTCTGGATTATAAAAATGGAAAATTGCAACTCCGGAAATAGTAACTGGACCATATCATTTATGTTTTGCTATTTCTGTCGTAGTAAAACATAACTTTTTTACCCTTTTGGATCTTCCAAACCAAATTATTCAGACACTGTGTCTTAAATATGGAAGTATTGTTTGATACAAAAGTTGTTGGAACTGTTGTTGCTGTTGTTGGTTTGTTTGTTACACGGAGTTAACTTCATCTTCATCGTCACTCCCTCCACTTCCACGGCTACTGCTACCGCTGCTACTCTGGCCACCACTGCCGCTTCCGCTGCTTACGCTTTTGCTACGACCATCACTGTCACTCCCGGTGCTGCTATCACTGCTACTGCTTGAGCTTGAGGTTTGAACCTTTTGTTCCTCTCGGTTCACTTGTGCTCTAAGTGCTTCTGCTGCGTTTAGACCCTTTTCTCCTTCACCGCCGCTATCGTCATCCACATCTGCAATCTCTTCTTCCGTGATGCTAAGCTGCTTGCTTAAGTTTTCGGCATATTCTACACCATCAGCATTCTCTTTCTCTGCATTGTCGTTCTCTGGTGTGAATGACCCGAATATTTCAACCAGATCGATCTCGTGATGCTCATCTACATCATCGTTCTTGTCCTCAACTGGTGGTGATATAGCAGATAAGTTTCTCGCAGGTTCAGCTGCAACCACTTTTTGTGTTAGATATAAAACTGCTACAATAGTTGTAACAGTAAAATATGCAAACCCCAGATATAGCATATAGCAATTACTGCTAACAAGTCAGTAGTTTGGTTATGTAAACTTGAATCAAAACTCCAATATTACTGCCTAGACTCCATTGATTATACTGAACCAGACAGTCATAGCAGCAACGAGAACCCACGATCAGGAATGACAGAAAGATCCAACTAATAAAAATTAGTTTATAAGGCGTTGTTCTGGAAGGCAGCTTTAGTTTCTTAAGTATAAGACGTTTCTTACTAGCAACCAAACATATATGCCAAACTAGTTTGTCTTGTTTTAAGACTAAGTTTTGTTCAATTTATGCAGTGTATCCTAGATTCCTATGATCCGGTTCTCATAAAAAATATCTAGCAATTAGAAGGGACTAGAAATGCTAACTCATATGAGAATATTGATGCAACAAACTACTAACCTGAGCTCTCTGACTTCCCAATTTCGATTCTTTCCACCTCAACCTGCAGAAATTACAGAAAATGAAAACTTAAACCAGTAGTAGCATTCAGTAAATCCATAACCTCCACACAATCAAATAGGATCATGGAATGTATAAGATATAAGTAAAAGACAATTGGGAACTCACAGACACATCTGGACGCAAAATTCTATTAACTTGAGGAGATTTAGCAGCACGACCAACAGGAGATAACCGATGCTCGAGAGACACTGCAGGCTGAGAAGCAGCAGCAGATTCACCAGGTGTCCTAAGATGTCGTAGCTGCTTCACAGCACGATGCATCCTCTCCAAACGAAACTTCTCCCCATCAAAAAACAACACCGCATCGTTTTCTTTGTAATCCTCGCTGCTACCTTCAAACGTCACTTTGGGTTTACCAGGTTGGTTATTCTGAAACTCAACTGAAACTCTGTTATCCTTCTTCTTGTGCAGAGTCCCTGACCTCTTCTTATCAATAGAAGCAGGCTTGAATTCATCTGCAAATACAAAATCAATATCAAACCCTTTTCCAATTTTGATTGTAGCTATCTTATGATCATAAGCAATTAACGGGTTTAGGTCGAATCAACCCAAAATTAAGAAAGGGAACACAAAGTACACAACCCAAAATTGGAACTCACATCGCAAAGTGCAGAATTTATGAGATGAATCATCTTTGGCAGAGGAACCCAGGACCAGATCATACCATTGGTCTGTCTTCGGAGCGGTACTGGGCTCATCTCTGGAGTGATTCGACATCTTTGGGGGGACAGAACGATCAACGATTGATCAAGGCGAATCCATCATGAAGAAGACGAAGTTTAAAATCAACGCGACGGAAGGAGATTTCACGGAGGACACAGGACTGTAGCTGCTGCTCACGTAGGGTTTTGCTAATTAGGGCAGAGAAGAAGACGAATCCGGGATCAGAAAATTTCGGATCCGATACCCGCCGGTATATGCTTTTTAATCTTCTTAACCATTTATATACGAACACGTGTAGTATGTCTGCTATTGGATTCCACGTGGACCTGTTTTGTTTCTGGCAACTAATTTTTTAATTCCCACGTCAGTTTATTGTAATTGCAAAAACGATCGATTTCCATATTTTTTAAAAAGAATGAAAAAGGTAAAAACAACAATCGATTTCCATATTGTTTTCGCAGCATAATTGCAAAAAGGAAATTGTGTTAAAAATTGTTTATTAAAAAAATTTAGGAAAGGGAAATCTAGTCCAAAAAAAGGAAAATTTAGATTGTTTCAAAAAGAAAAAGGAAAAAGTTGGAAAAAAAGGAAACGAGAGAATGATTTTCCTTTTTCCGTGTAAGCCCGAACTTATATATACCATACTCTCGCTCACTCATCTCATTCTCTGGTAAATCAAAAACAAGGAAAAGAAAAATTCATCTTTCTTCTTTTGTTATCTCTCTCTCTCGAGTCTCGAACAAGCTAAGCTCCGTTAAGGTCTCTCATGACAAGTGATTGGTCACCGGTCTAGAGACTCATGATGATGAAGATTGAAGCCGACGATCCATCTACGGTAGACATCGATCGAAGTACGTAAGCCTACTACAGTACTACTCACTCTCTCTTGCCTTTTTATTTTATATATTTCATCTCTGACCTAATTTCAAACATCCGAGTTTACACACTGTTAGGTCTTGTTATGGAGATTTAAAAACTAAAATCTAGGGCGATGATGGCGAATGGCGATAGATTGAGGGGAACATCATCGGAGGATTCGTTTGACAGATTTTTAAACATAGCTTCCCCTTTTCCGTAGCCTATTGATTAGTAATTGTGCAGGTTTGACAGATTCGGTACATGGAGTTGGCCGCTAGAGTCTTGCTAGGCCAATAAGAGGTTTTTTTGCTGCATGCACGCCATCAGCTTCATGTGCCACGAATCTGAAAAATCTTTTCTTTTGATACTTCCACGACCTCCCTAAGTGTTTCTTCTGGACTTTTTGTTCTTATTGTTGTCGCTTGGATAGTGTTTCCAAAGATCCACATCAAACTATTTACGATAGATATCAGATTGTAGCCAAAGTAACTACCATAGCAGCTTTCCTGAGGTTAGCTAACTCTCCTCTGGTATATATGCTAGGATGTGTTGCAACTTGCTCCCAGAGCATTAAGTAACATTTTTTTTGGCGGAGAAAGGCTTGACATTATATTGGGAGTCATCTTTCTTCATCATAGCTTTTGCTTTTTCCTTAAGAAATGGATTGACTTGGTCTTGGTTCTGGGCGGAAGATGCAGCCACTTCTACTGTAAATTGGACCTTGAAGTCCATCCAAAGCTCTGATACTATAACATCAAAGACGATAGTGACGCGTTGCTCTGCTCTTCATAACTTTTGCTATGTAGAGCAGTGATATAGTGATTATGAAATTTTTTCCAGGAAAACTTATATCTTGTTGCCTGAAAATAAAATTAGAAATTAATCTTCTTTTCCTTCTTTTGTTAACTGTAATGAAAATTTACAAGCTGATGCCATTTCTGTAGAAATTAATAAAGTTATAAATTAATTCAATGTTCTACATGCAATGAAAATCTACAGAAACGTAAAAAGAAAAACATGTCTAGATAGAGTGATGAATGTGTATTCTTAGAACTTGCAAATCCAATAGGTACCATTAGCCAATATAAAATTTTGTTAACAATACTTTTCTGTATTGGGCTTCATTTTTTTTGTCGTGTGTTGTCGCTAGCCCAATGACCAATCTTTGACTGAAAGACTCGTTATCTCAACCACAGATTATCTTCATCTTCTTGATGTAGTAAATATAAAATTTTCAAATCAAGAGAAAGTTCAAGAAACGAAATTATTGCAATCAATTTTTAAAGCGTGGATTGTGCATCTGTTCTCGCAGTCTTGTCTTCTTCCTCAATGATATGTTCCATGTGAAGCTCCAGGTCCATGTGTTATTCTCTTATAGGATTTAACCCTTCCAAACCATCTTCTTTGATTGTGGTGTAATCAATTTTGTGGTCTGCTTCTATTTCTTGATTCAGATTCGTCATTTCTCAACATTTTATTTGTTTTAGTTTAATCCCCAGTTTGGTCATCTTCTTCTGTGTTTGTTTATTTCAATCGTTGACTTCACAGTGAGATCAAGATGTCAGGATTATCCGGGGGAAATGTTAATTCTAGGGTAGTGGATATACTCAGTGGTGTTGTGCCTTTGATGAAGCTTATCTGTTTAACCTTAATAGGTCTGCTTCTTGCTCATCCCAAGACTCAATTAGTCCCTAGAGCCACGTTTAGGCTATTGAGCAAGCTTGTGTTTGCTTTGTTCTTGCCTTGTTTGATCTTCACTGAGCTTGGAGAAAGCATCACCTTGGATAACATTGTTCGTTGGTGGTTTATACCGGTCAATGTGCTACTCAGCGCGGTCATAGGGTCATTGATAGGTTACGTGGTTGTCCTCATATGTCGACCTCCTCCAGAGTTCACTAGATTTACTATTGTTATGACTGCTTTTGGAAATACTGGGAATCTCCTGTTAGCTATTGTTAGCTCCGTGTGTCACACAAAGAGCAACCCTTTTGGACCGAGTTGCCACTCGAGAGGGGTTTCATATGTCTCGTTTGCGCAATGGGTAGCTGTGATTCTTGTGTATACTGTTGTGTATCACATGATGGAGCCGCCTTTGGAGTATTATGAAGTTGTTGAGGATGAAGGAGTTGAGATAGAGGAGATCCAGGTGGAGAATCATGATATTAGTAGGCCTCTTTTAGTGGAAGCTGAATGGCCAGGGATCGAGGATAAAGAGACAGAACACTGTAAGACCCCTTTCATTGCCAGGGTCTTCAACAGCATATCTAGTGTCTCCCAGGCTTCTTTGCCTGAAGTAGATCTCGTGGGAGACGAGAGTCCGAGCCCGAGGTCTCTTCAGTGCTTAGCTGAGCCAAGAGTAATGAGGAGAATAAGAGTTGTGGCTGAACAGACACCAGTGAAACACATACTCCAACCTCCAACAATCGCATCTCTGTTAGCAATCATTATCGGATCAGTGCCTCAGCTGAAAAATATAGTCTTTGGGTACGATGCTCCACTTTCTTTCATCACAGATAGTTTGAATATAATGGGGAGCGCGATGGTTCCTTCTGTGATGCTTGTACTAGGTGGTATGCTCTCAGAAGGACCAAATGAATCAACTCTTGGGTTACGCACTACGATCGGGATAACTGTTGCAAGACTCCTGGTACTTCCTCTAGTTGGAATAGGGATTGTGCTGTCAGCTGATAAATTTGGCCTCATATCCACAGCAGATCCAATGTTCAAGTTTGTACTTCTTCTGCAGTATTCGACTCCAAGTGCCATTTTACTTGGAGCCATCGCGAGTCTAAGGGGTTATGCGGTTAGAGAAGCCTCGGCGGTTCTATTCTGGCAGCACATCTTCGCACTGTTGTCTCTTACGTTGTACATTGTCATCTTCTTCAAACTCACGGTTGATAAAACTGTCCAAGGTATGCCACCAATCTAAGTAATTAAAAAAAAAAAAAAAAAGACAAAATCCAAAACTTGCTTGTAAAGAATGTGATATTATCAAATACATTGAATCTCATTTTCAATTTTGTGTGTTGGTGAATAAATAGACCAACTTGGAAAAACTCTTTTTATAATTGTGTTTGATCAATTCAATGTTTGAGAAGTTTTGTACGCCAAAAATGGCATGAACGATGCAGTTGCATAATCTTAATTCCTGGCGTTAATAATCTTTTAATCAAAAAGGATCATCGTATTCACATGGTTTTAGTCTTTTAAATGAGAGATATGTAAACACGGAACTGTGACATTTCAAACCAAAGAAATAAAAAGATACGGACCGTCATGATATCCAATGGTGGAGAAAGGCTGCTTTCATGAGAGATGCTCATGGTGGGATTGGAATATGCGTTCACCTTATTGGAAAACGTGTTATTTTCTTGGATTGTGAATCCATTTATTAGTAGCTGTATTATTTTTATCAAGATCCGATTACATATGAGAGTAAGTTTTTTTTGCAAGATAAAAAAAAATTATGCCTCTGATTGGGTAACAACACGAGTCTCATGGTCTAAAATTATACCATGTGTAAAATTTTCAAATACAATTCAGAAATTTAGCCTTATCCTTTTTTAAATACTCTCTAATAAGAAGCGTCGAATACGAATACGAATACGAATACGAATACGAATACGATTCTAATAAGTTTTGAAGTCTTTATAAGAGTCTCTCATACATTTGTGCATTCAAAAATTCACAAACCAAGTCGTGTACAAATGGGTTCAGCGTTCGATCCCCTAGCCATGGCCACTGAGGAACCCGCCGTCGTTAACTCAACGCCTCTTCTCTCTAACCTCACCCAAGAAGAACTCAAGAGAATCGCCGCCTATAAGGCTGTCGAATTCGTCGAATCTGGAATGGTCATTGGTCTCGGCACTGGCTCCACCGCGAAACACGCTGTGGCTCGTATCAGCGAGCTTCTCCGTGAAGGAAAACTCAAGGATATCATCGGAATCCCTACTTCAACCACAACGCATGAGCAAGCGGTTTCACTTGGGATACCGTTGTCCGATCTGGATTCGCACCCAGTCGTAGATCTATCAATCGACGGCGCTGACGAAGTCGATCCGGCTCTCAATCTGGTGAAAGGACGCGGCGGCTCGTTGCTGAGAGAGAAGATGATTGAAGGAGCATCTAAAAAGTTCGTTGTGATTGTTGACGAATCGAAGCTCGTGAAGTATGTCGGAGGAAGCGGACTCGCCGTACCGGTGGAGGTTGTTCCGTTCTGCTGCGATTTCACACGGGGGAAACTGGAGGAGCTTTTCAGAGAAGCTGGATGTAAAGCGAAGCTCAGGATGAAGATTGGATCCAACGGCGGAGATGCGGCGCCGGCTGTTACGGATAATGGGAATTACGTGGTGGATTTGTATCTGGAGAGAGACATGGGAGATTTAGAGGCGGCGAGTAAGGCGATACTGAGGTTTCCCGGAGTGGTGGAGCATGGGATGTTTCTCGGAATGGCGACTACATTGATCGTCGCCGGGAAATTCGGTGTAACCGTCAGGGATAGGTTTGGATAAAAGAGTCATTTTCAAAATAGTTAGGGTTTATGGTTTGATTTTGGATTTTGGATTAAAGAGGGGATGGATTCTCTCTGGTTCTGTAAACCCTTTTCTCCTATTGGCTTAGAAATTTTGACTTATTTTTTCTGTAGAACTTTGACTTTTTGTGGAGTACAACATCTCCCCGGACCTTATGATATTTGACCAAATTGCCTCGAAACTTTTTCATTCTACAGAAAAAAGCCCAGAACTCTTACAAATGAAGAAGTTAGTTATAATGGGCCTTCTGTCATAGAATAATGGGCTTTTGGTTATGAAAATGAATTTCAAGTTTCAACGAATATACAATTTGACAACAATGTCGGCAGCCAGATCTCGTCAACAAAGTCAGATTTTGCTCAAAGTTTTTTTTTTTTTGGGTTCCTTTGCGTATATAGTGGATTTCGTGTAATATTTACTGAAGATTTTAAGAAAGCTAGTTCATATGTCATTGTGGAACAATGTAATATGTAATAGAAGAAACTAATATAGTAAACAAAAACCCTAGATATTCATTCATATTCGTGTAGGTAGACACAAAGATAAGAAAAGAAAATTGAGAAATACACTTTTCAATGTGAAGAATAAATACCACGTTATGGGTTTATTTTGTCATAAAGCAAGAAAGTTGCATACCCTTAATTGTAAAAGAAAGGATTCACACATTTCTTTGGGTCACATGATCCTCTCACATGCTTCCTCTTACGCATATGAAACCATCTTGACTTCTACCAAACAACCAACTCCAATGGCATGCTGATATGAATCACAACCAAACCAATAACAAAATTAATTTAGGATCTTACTTTAGTGTTTTTAAAAAGATAACTTTCCATATATAAGATATACACACTTGTTTTGTTTGTATAGTTAAAGATAAAAGTAGAGACGTACGTCAAAATACCAAACCCCACCCATACAACAACACTAAATAATCAGCTTTTTTGTAATATAGCTCTTTGTTAGTTCTTAAAATATCCTAAAATAGTTTTGATGAAAGAAATATAATAAGAGTGAACACTTTATTAATAGTTGAATTGCCGACGTGAGACGTCAAAAGAAAACAAAAGAAATAAAGTTCTGATTTGTGTCACTATCTAGAAAATATTTTTGGGAGAGTCAATAGGAAGAGTCTAAAAAAGTCAAGAGATGCCATAACCCTAACCGCAAGTTATGGTGTAGTAGAATTCAAAAGTCGTAAAGCCATGCTCCGAAACCGAAAGCAATATTACTATTATTTAACAATACCAAAGTCACCAAAAATGACTTTTTTTTCGTGCAAATTACTTCGGGAAGAAGAAAGTATGTATGAAAATTCTCTCCCTCACGTAACTATTCAAGGCAACCTACAATAGCAATATACTACTCATGTGAAACGCAATCCATGTCATGGGAAACACTATCCCAAATTATCAGTTACCCTTTTATGGATAATATATGTATCCAAATAATATATGTATTAAGTTTAAATGGTTACGATAGTTGAAGTGGCCAAATTAATTTATAGATTTTACCATTTTTTTTTATTTGAGAACCCAAAAAAAAGAACAAAAAGAAATACAAGAATTGCAATGAACTAATTGTAAACTATGTATATATTAACATAAATTAGGTGTTTAAACAAATAAAATGGTAGAATCAATTGTATGCTGACATTATTAATTCTTAATCAATAAAGTTTTTCGCTGAAAAAAAAAAAAAACAAATAAAATGGTATAGTTCCTTGAGTTTTAGTCCGTTTCTTCTAAAACATGCATTCAAAGATATTGTATGAATGTTAATGGCAACTAAAAATTAGGTAATTTCAGATGAAATGTATGTATGGACACAAAAACAATGCATGATGATGATTATGAATTAATTACAAATCCCCGACAAACAAAACAATTAACACTCAAAGAGAGTCCATGAGTCAAAAACAAAACACACATGAGTTTACAATAATGGTTCAATCAATGAACCGTCCCGATTAAAAGGTCACACGTGGCTACAGAAGAAACCGCCACTAGAGACACCGAGACGGAGGGACGCCACCACCACGTTACGTTTTAGATCCATCGAGTCATGTCAGTAGACACCACCAAAATTTAATTCAATCTCCCCCTTTTTTTTTTTAGTATCTAAACAACCATGCCATTAACAGACTAATAACCAAATCTGAGATATCTATCCTACTTTAATTTCACCATTTAAAAAATCTGATATTCTCAATCACTTATATATAAATAAACCCAAACATGCTACCAAATTAGTACCTAAACAAGTCCGTAATTAAGCCAAAGTTTGTTATAGTTATACAACCAAATCCATAAAATAATTGACTTAAATTATCAAACAATTAAGGGATTAAGAGAGTGCGTGTGAAAAGCGTATAAATATTTAGTGTGAAAACAAGAAAAGTGGTAAAGGACAAAAGAGAGAGTAAAGGTGCGCCTAATAAAGCACTCTTCTTCTCCTTTTTTCACTTTCTCTCATTAAAGGGCAGAAAAAATCAGCTTAAAGCGTGAGAAGAGAGAGAGAGAGAGAGAGCGTAACCGCGGGTGATAAAATCTCTCTCCCCTCACCCGCGTTCTCGGAGCTTCTTCTTCTTCTTCAACAACAATGGCGGCCTCTCCGATCTGATTAAGTTTCCTCTATCTCTCTCTCATGCCTCGAACGGACTCGTTTCATCGACGTACCAGCTTCTTCCTAGTTACTGAGGAAACAATAAGAAGATGATGACCAACTCTTTATTCCTCTCCGTCGTCGTTTTTGTTTCTCTCGTTTCCGTTGATTCATTCGCCACCGCCTCACAGGATCCTCTCAAACTCATATTAGGTTTCTCCTTCTCTTCCTCTGTATTTTTTTTTTTTTTTGTTTTTTTTTTCGATTGCACGCTGATGCGATTTTTTCACGTTTGCTATGATTTGTGTTTTTTGCGTATCTACAATATTCATCGCTGTTCCAGAATGACAAATATGTGAATACTTCTTCTGTTCACGATTTGCTAAATTCCGAAATTAGTGGCTTCTTATAGTAGTACTACTCTTTTGGCGCTATCTTAAGCAAGTTTAGAATTGTGATTTTTATTTGGGGGGTGGAGTTCTGATTTGGGGAATTTGCTTTTGCTACAAAAACTTCAGGTTCACCTAATTTCGGATCAACATGGAAAGGTGGAATCTCATTAGCACCAGGACCTTCATCAGCTGATGATGCCTCTGATTACCTTCTCTTAGCAGCTCATAGAACCAAGAGACCTGACATCCTTAGAGCTTTTAAGCCTTACCTTGGCGGCTGGAACATCACTAATAATCACTATTGGGCTGTAAGTCTCTTCTTCTTCTTCTTCTTCTTTGTCATCATCTCCAATTTGTTTCAGTTCTAATGGCCATCTGTTTGCAGTCTGTTGGATTTACAGGTGCTCCTGGTTTCATTCTAGCTGCTATCTGGCTCTTGTCTTTTGGCTCTCTTCTTGTTGTGTATCATTGTTTCAAATGGAGAGTATGTGTTAAAGCCAAGGGATCATCATTCGATTCGCGCAGAATCTGTTTCATTTTGTTGATACTGTTTACTTGTGTCGCAGCGTAATAATCTCAACTCCTCTATTCGTTTTTGGTTCTCCGTTCGTTTGTTTTTTGTTGTTCCTAAGATTGTACTGGTATTTTTGCAGGATTGGATGTATTCTTTTATCTGTTGGACAGGATAAGTTTCATACTGAAGCTATGCATACTCTTAAGTATGTGGTAAACCAGTCAGACTACACCGTGGAGATCCTCCACAATGTGACTCAATATCTGTCACTTGCAAAAACAATCAACGTGACAGCGATTTCCATCCCGTCAAATGTTATGGATGAAATTGACAAGTTAAATGTCAATCTGAACACTGCAGCAGTTACACTGGAAGAGAAAACAACAGATAATGCTGCTAAGATAAAGAGAGTTTTCTATGCTGTGTAAGTTTCTCTGTATTGTACTGTGGAGCTGAATGGTGCCAATTTATGATTAACAAGGCAAACTGTCTTAATACTAACTTTGTATATTTACAATTCCAGGCGATCAGCTTTGATCACGGTCGCTACTGTGATGCTCATCCTTTCTTTTCTAGGTCTATGTAAGTCCAGTTGATGTTTATATGGTTCTTTGATATTTCCGTTAGAATAGCTGTGACATCCACTTGACTTTAACTTTTATCTGTTATTTGCATTATTACAGTGCTCTCTGTCCTCCGCCACCAACACGTTGTTCATATGTGAGACCTTTAAACTCCAACATCTTCAATTTCTTTAATTTCTGGTGGTTTAAGATATACAAAATTCTGACTGATGAGGATGTATGTGATGATAGATTCGTGGTGAGTGGGTGGATACTGGTGGCTGTGACATTTGTTCTCTGTGGAGTTTTTCTGATCCTAAACAAGTAAGATTTTTCTGTTCAATTGCTTGTTTTCCCTTGCCTTATTAAGTAGACTCGCAAATGTAGTTAACAAAATGTCATTGTATTGGTGTCCAGTGCAATTTCAGATACGTGTGTAGCCATGAAGGAATGGGTTGATCATCCTCACGCAGAAACAGCTCTCAGCAGCATCCTCCCATGCGTTGATCAGCAAACAACAAACCAGACTCTTGCACAGAGTAAAGTTGTCATCAACAGCATCGTCACTGTTGTAAACACCTTTGTCTATGCCGTTGCCAATACAAACCCATCTCCAGGTCAAGACCATTATTACAATCAGTCTGGACCTCCGATGCCTCCTTTGTGCATCCCATTTGATGCAAACATGGTAGATCGCCAGTGCTCGCCTTGGGAATTGTCGATAGAAAATGCATCATCGGTACCTATCCAACTCACCTATCTTTTTATATCTTGAACAAAACACCACCAAGTCGAAGACATGTCTGAATGAACATTTTTTGTCAGGTCTGGGAGAATTACATATGTGAGGTTACAGAATCCGGAATCTGCACCACTGTGGGGAGAATAACGCCTGCTGCTTTTGGACAGTTGGTAGCAGCTGTAAATGAGAGCTACGCACTCGAGCATTACACGCCTCCATTGCTTAGCTTCCAAGATTGCAACTTTGTTAGGGAAACATTTATGAGTATTACCTCAGATTACTGTCAACCATTGGAGCGTAATCTGAGGATTGTGAATGCAGGACTTGGACTAATATCCGTGGGAGTGTTACTATGTCTGGTGCTGTGGATATTCTATGCAAACCGCCCCCAAAGGGAGGAAGTGTTTGCGGATCCACACCCTCAAAAAAAAGACGGTAGCTTTGGTAATGGCTTGGATAATCATCACTCAGATGCCAATACTAAGATTTCTGTAGAATGCGTATAGTAAATAGGTATATAGATAGATAGAATCAGATATATTGTATTTCATAAAAATATGAAAAAGAACAATAAAAACGTTTTGTAGCGTTTATGTTACATTAGAAGAAGAGGAAGAGACTAGAGGTGGAGCGAAGTTTCACTTTCTGGCTCTTGTTTTCAGAATGATTTGGAGTTTTTGATCCATTACATGCAGAAAGAAGTTTTAAAATGTGATGTTGTTGGTAGCAAGTGCCATGAGATTAAACGGTCTGATCTGGTTTTTGTTTCCATTCCACAAAGCCTTTGACATGAGATGGTAAGTGCGTTCGGTGGGATGATAAAAATCCCAAAACAAAAACTCATTTGGGTTATTGCAAATATTGTATCCTTCTCTTCCACACTGCACCAATCCACCCAGTGTCCCGTTCCCACAACAAGCGTTTGACACATCCGAAAAACCTTTACCCAAAAACATGATTTAGCTTTCGAATTGAAAAGTCTCAAAGAAAGAACTTAATTAATAAGATTGTTTACCGTAACGAGCAGGGTAGGTTTGGAATCTGTGAGTGATACCATACACAGCTCCAAACACCGCAATGACTCCAGGGTACTTAGTAGGGATTATGTTCACTATATCTTCAAGTCTTGTATTATACATCTTGGCCATAACATTCATCTTACCGAAGCATTTATTAGTTGGTGCATTAGGAAGCATGGCTCTTGCTGGGACACATCCCACCGGACCTAAGGAGAAGAAAGCGATGCGGCGTGCGCCTAGTTTGTAGATCTGATCAATCGTTTTGTTCACTTGGTCTAACATTGAGTTTACATAGGCGTCTGGAGAAAGTGTATGATTTAGGAATGGTAGGAAGTAATTGAAGATGTCGTTGGAACCAGACTCCAACAAGAAGAGAGACTCTTGGATTATAGATTTATCGATATGGTTTTGCTGTACCAGTGTCTGAAATTGCTGAAGCTGGATTTGGATCGGTGTTACGCCCTACATATCATATGTGTAGTGTAACTAACGAGTGATTCACAAGAAACCAAAAGTTCGGTAAAAGCTAGATATTTACCATGTAGTTGTTTGTATCAAACAAGAGACCACTACCAGCACTAGCAAAGTTAATGCCATTTGCAGGGAGTTTTCTTGAAGTTACGTTCAAGATCTGATACTGCAATTCCAAGAATGGTTTCTGTAACGGAAGTCCTACAAACTCCGCTGCAATTAAATGGGTCAACAAAAGAGAAAAGGTTAGGTGCCTTGCGAAAGAAGAAACCTTCAAAAACAAGTTCGGGATGATTTGTTACAAATGAAGTCGGCGACCGTTCTTCCGTTGGTGAACCTCCCAGTGGGACGGTGGAAGAAGGAAGAACCGTAAGGAGGAAAATCAGCCTGAGCGGTGCAGTTTTTGTTGAAATGGTTGTTTCCGGCATCAAAAATGGAGTCACCAAAGGTGAAGATGGCAGGAACAGTGGAAGAAGACTTGGTTAGAGCTACCGGAGAGGCCACTAGAAGGAGCAGAGCGAGGAGGAAGAAGAGTAAGTCCATTAAAATTTAAACAAGAAGATTTATGTGTGACAAAATGAAACTGTACAAGTTCATAAATATAGATTTTACATAGTCACATCCATACCACATGTATAGAGATTGAAACGGAAGACAAGAGCATTGTTCATGTTTCTGCACTTTCACTTCAGTGTGATTAAAGTTTCAACTTGTTCCTAATTTCCTGCTTCACCGTCGATTCCCTGCAAAAGAATGAATGTTGGCGAAGAAAAAGTGAGGCCCATTACGGATACGGCCCAACTAAAATGGCCTGTTTTATTGAACCATTCCCAATCAGGAAAAAAAAAAAAAAAAACAATATGGAAGTAGTTAAAAAAATTGCATTAAAATTTTCTTCAAATCACTTTTGTTTGCAGTCTAAATTTGTCTTCGACATAACGACCAAAGAAGTATGTCTAAATTTATCTTCTCTTTTTCTTCGATGTAACTAACTAATAACAATTTTTTATAAAAAAAATATTATAATTTTATAAAAGAAGTGACTGCCAAAAAAAATATAAAACTAAACTGAAGACATCAAATGGATATAATTTTTGTGTTTTGTCTTTCTAAAACAGGTTGTAATATTGTATTATTTTCAGAATTCTAGATTCTTATTAATTGTCTTGATTAAAAAAATGTACAAGTCATAATAATTCTCAATTTATTGAACTCGATATTTATCTTCGTGGCGTTGTTCATTAAATTCCCATATTATGGATATATATATATTTTTTGGACAAACTATATTAAGGATTGTTTTTAATATTAAAAAAAAAAAAGTAAAAATGAAGGCATCAGAAAAAATTCAAAAAGGAGATTCCAAAGAATAAAACATATTCTGTGGGAATATTAATTTCACAAATTCCCAAAGCAGAGGGAGAGACTCTCTCTCTCTCTCTCCCAAATGCTTTCCTTTTAATGGGAGACGAAGACGAAACCCTACTCTCCCCAAATTAAGTAGCTACTCTCTCAGATTATGAAGCGTATCATCAGAATCTCATTCACCGACGCTGAAGCCACCGATTCTTCAAGCGACGAAGAAGAAGAAGAGACGCAGAAGCGTGGTTCCCAAACTACTCGCCGCCGTGGGAAACGTCTCGTCAAGGAGATCGTAATCGACCCGGCCGATACACTCGACGTCTGCAAGACACGGTTCAAAATCAGAATCCCGTCGGAATTTCTCACGGCGGCGAAGGAGAGGAAGAAGTTTCGCGGAGTGAGGCAGAGGCCGTGGGGGAAATGGGTGGCTGAGATCAGATGTGCTCGTAAAGGACGCCGCGACCGTCTCTGGCTTGGTACTTTCAACACCGCCGAGGAAGCTGCTCTTGCTTACGATAACGCTGCGGTTCAGCTGATTGGACCTCACGCGCCCACTAATTTCGGAGTGTCTGACGTCGCTAGAGGCGCGTGAAGAAGGTCTCTCATTGACTACGTAAGATACGATGGCTTTTTGTTGAGCTTCGTCTTTGTAAAATTCATCTTCGCCCTCTCGTGATGTTTGTTGTGATATGAGAGGTCCTCTGTTTCTCACTCTCTGTATATATTTTTGGCACTGTGGACGAATTTGAATAATAAAATTGAGACTAGTGATGGTTTGGTAAATTGGTTATAGAGTTATGCATATATTGACCAAACCAGACAATACCAAAATCGATTAGTTAGAATTTATTGTATATAGCGAATTTAATTTCTAAAGTTTTTGAACCAACAACTTTCTTACCAAACTGAACTGAACCAAAATGACTTCGATCAGAACCACACCGAGTTCGGTTATGTTCTGACCAATTGATTGGGACAAAAACCGCAGGCGTAGTTCTCTTTCTTACTAACCCCTTGACTGATTCAGGACTTTTACATTTTAATATTTCAAGACTGACTGAGATGTTTTACCACACTCCACTGATTATATTTTTCAAATACTATATAATCGTGTATAAAAAGTATATGATTGATACAGAGAAGAGAGAGTTCAAAGATCTCGAGATCTCAAGGAAGAAGCAGAAAGAAATGGATTCGGCAGAGGAGGGCTTGCTCGTGGTGAGTCGTGGAGAAGAAGTAAACAAGAAAGATGTGTTTTTTATGGAGATGAAGAAGCTTGGTTACATAGCAGGTCCCATGATTGCGATAAACTCGTCTATGTACGTTCTTCTTGTCATATCCATTATGATGGTTGGTCATCTTGGTGAGCTTTTCCTCTCTAGCACCGCCATTGCCATTTCTTTCTGTAACGTCACAGGTTTCAGCATCATCGTATGTCTCTTTCTTGATCTCCCTCTCTCTTTCCTTTTAAGCATCACAGATTATATATTGTTATTTTGTGGTGATCATATACAGTTTGGACTAGCTAGTGCCTTGGAGACTTTATGTGGTCAAGCTAATGGAGCTAAACAATTCGAAAAGCTTGGGGTCCATACCTACACAGGGATCTTCTCTTTGTTTCTTGTGTGTATTCCTTTATCTGTGCTATGGAGTTACATGGGTGATGTACTCACTCTTACTGGACAAGATCCTCTGGTTTCTCAAGAAGCTGGAAAGTTTGCAACTTGGCTCATACCCGCGCTCTTTGCTTACGCTACTTTGCAGCCGCTTATTCGGTTTTTCCAAGCGCAGAGTCTGATTTTGCCTATGATTATGAGCTCAATGTCTGCTGTATGTGTCCATGTTGTCCTCTGCTGGAGCTTAGTCTTTAAGTTTGGGCTTGGAAACCTTGGTGCAGCTATCTCGATCAGTGTTTCTTACTGGTTAAACGTGACTGTGCTTGGGTTATACATGACGTTTTCTTCCAGCTGTAGCAAGAGCCGTGCAACTATCTCCATGAGTGTTTTTAAAGGAATGAAAGAGTTTTTCCTGTTTGGAATCCCATCTGCCTCTATGATTTGGTAATATGAACAATTCTCTTCATAACTCTTTTGGTTTAGTCACAGAGTTGTTGACGTTTGACTTGACTTGAATCTCTTTGTTGTTGAATTAGCCTTGAGTGGTGGTCATTCGAATTTCTAATTCTGCTTTCTGGGATTTTACCAAATCCGAAGCTAGAAGCCTCTATTCTCTCAGTCTGGTATGATCCTTTTATGAGATATAGAGTTTTGGAATGGACTATTATCATATACAACTCAGTTGTGTTTTCTTCTTTGTTCAACAGTATGTCAACCACCGCCATTGTGTACCAAATAGCAGAGAGTCTCGGCGCAGCAGCAAGGTTCTTGTTGTTGCAGTCCAAGATTTGCAAAATGAGAGCTATCTATATCTAAAACATCTATCTGTTGTTGTTGTTGTTGTTTCAGTACAAGAGTTGCAAACGAATTAGGAGCTGGCAATCCGAAACAAGCACGAGTAGCTGTGTACACAGTAATGGTCATTACATGTGTAGAATCAATAATGGTGAGTGCAACAGTTTTTGGTACAAGAGACGTATTCGGTTACCTATTCAGCTCTGAAACAGAGGTTGTGGCTTATGTAAGATCAATGGCTCCATTGGTTGCTTTATCAGTCATATTTGATGCCCTTCACGCGGTTCTTGCGGGTTAGATTAGATTCTTTTTCTATAATGTTACATTCGTGAAGGGACTTATTACAGGATTAGTATTGTGTTAATGAAGGGGACTAAGGGGAATGAAACTGCAGGTGTGGCTAGAGGATCAGGGAGGCAAGATATTGGGGCTTATGTAAACCTAGCTGCTTACTATCTCTTTGGTATACCAACTGCCATGATATTAGCTTTTAGGTTTAAAATGGAAGGAAGAGGACTTTGGATTGGGATCACAGTTGGATCCTTTGTACAAGCTTTTTTGCTTGGTCTTGTCGTCATCCTCACCAACTGGGAACAACAGGTTAGTAAAGTGAGAGTGATGTCCATAACTTTTTTCACTTGTTGGGAGAAAAAGTGAAAAATTGGATTTGAGAAAGTGAAAGTGATGGTTTATTGATATCTATGTCAATGTTATGGGCCAGATGAGAAAGGCCAGAGAGAGACTGATGGGTAAGTGGTTTAAAGATGAAGACAGTGAAGAACATGAAGAGATATTCAGCTAAACCAAGAGACGTCAATCGTGTAGCCATTAAATGTTGTCTTGTTATTAATTCCATATTTCTAGTGAATTGCTGTTGTCAGTGATAGTCATGTGAACGAACATGCATGTACATAATAAGGTCTTCTCCCTTATGAAAAGAAAGATAAAAACATTAATCACGTGATATTGTGCAAACTGCAAACTTAAAGAAAACTAAGGTTTGCTCATTAGAAATATGTCTGGTACACAGTTTTGAACTGGGAGACCAACCGGCGGATGAAGTGGTTTAACCGCAAACACTGAATCAAATTTCAAGATCTCAGTGAAGACGCATAGAAGAATGGATTATGTGGAGAAGGGCTTGCTTGTGGTGAGCAAGAAAGATGGTCTTTTGATGGAGATGAAGAGACTTGGTTACATCACTGGTCATATCTACTACGATGGTTGGTTCATCTCAGTGAGTCTACCACCATTGCCATTTACGGTGAAACACAGCTAACTATTCATATTATAAAAATTAAAATCAGACTAATGTTTAAGAATTATTGTGCCTAGCTCCACCGAGACCACTTCTAGGTCAACAAACAAAAACAAGTTGTTACTAGTAATTACTGATATATATTAAAGGCTACCAAAAATGTGAGGTGGTTGAACCAAAGTTAAATACGACTACATCGAAATCTTTGAAAATGATAGAAGAGTGATGAAACACGAGCTAGGAGAGTTTTCTATCAAATTCTATCTTATTATGTAAATGCAGCGTCATGCTTACTTTTTATTTTATGCAGTAGTGCCTTGACAAGATCAACGCTGAAGTTAATTTGTACTCGTTTTTTACTAAGACCACCTGGCATTGCTTATTGATTTAGTGCACCAATAATAAATCAATTGGTTGGGACGAAACCCGCAGGCGTAGATCTCATTTCACACATAAAACAATATACTAAAATTATATTTATGTGCTTTGAATTTATATGTACATATGAACGTTGAACAATAAACATATACCAACGAATCGAATCAAATATTTCAGACTATACGTGCACTCCATACGGTCACCATAAAGTTATGAAAACTGTAATTTACGTTGGCTTTAGTTGATTAATTAAGGAACTTCAGAATATGTATCATTCTTATCGCAAAGAATGCATTCCAAGTGAGATGTCCAAGATCTGTAGTATTTAAAAAGAGGAGCACGTGAGGAAACACGAGGTGCAATTCTTTTATGGAATGAGAAGTCAACAAAAATATATGGTTTACTTTTCAAAGATATGGTATACTTGTTTCTTTTATTATTAGTATAAAAGCATAGGATTGATTGAGAGAAGAGACTAGAGAGGAGGTAAAGATCTCAGGGAAGAAGCACAAAGAAATGGGCTCGGTGGAGGAGGGTTTGCTCGTGGTGAGCCACAGAGAAGATGTTAACAAGAAAGATGTGTTTTTGCGGGAGATGAAGAGGCTTGGTTACATCGCTGGTCCCATGGTTGCGGTGAACTTGTCTACGTACGCTCTTCTTGTCATATCCATTATGATGGTTGGTCATCTTGGTGAGCTTTTCCTCTCTAGCACCGCTATTGCCATTTCTTTCTGCAGCGTCACCGGTTTCAGCGTCGTTGTATGTCTCTTTCTTGATCTCCCTCTCTTTCCTTTAAGTTTCAAGGTTATAAATTTTGATTGTTGTATGTGACCACACAGTTTGGATTGGCTAGTGCGTTGGAGACTTTATGTGGTCAAGCTCATGGAGCTAAACAATTCGAAAAGCTTGGAGTTCATACTTACACAGGGATTTTCTCTTTGCTTCTTGTTTCTATTCCTTTGTCTGTGCTCTGGAGTTACATGGGTGATATACTCGCCTTTACTGGACAAGATCCTCTGGTTTCTCAAGAAGCAGGAAAGTTTGCAACTTGGCTCATACCCGCGCTCTTTGCTTACGCTACTTTGCAGCCGCTTATTCGTTTTTTCCAAACACAGAGTCTGATTTTTCCTTTGATTATGAGCTCAGTCTCTGCTCTCTGTTGCCACGTTGTCCTCTGCTGGAGCTTAGTATTTAAGTTTGGGCTTGGGAACCTTGGTGCAGCTATCTCGATCAGTGTTTCTTACTGGTTAAACGTGACTGTTCTTGGATTGTATATGACGTTTTCTTCCAACTGCAGCAAGAACCGCGCACCCATCACCATGAGTCTGTTTAAAGGAATGGGAGAGTTCTTCCGGTTTGGAATCCCATCTGCCGCTATGATTTGGTAATATAAATTTCTCTTGATGACTCTTTTGGTTTAGTCACAGAGTTGTTGACTTCAATCTCTTTGGTGTTGGATTAGCATCGAATGGTGGTCATTCGAATTTCTTGTCTTACTCTCTGGTCTTTTACCAAATCCGAAGCTAGAAGCCTCTGTTCTCTCAGTCTGGTATGTTCCTTTTACCTTCTAAGGAACTTGCTTTTGGAACGGACTATTCTCATATATATACAACTCACTTGCTTTCTACTTTATTTTAACAGTCTATCAACAATGGCCGTCCTGTACCAAACAGTAGAGAGCCTAGGCGCAGCAGCAAGGTTCTTGTTGTTGCACTACAAGATTTTCAAAATGAGAGCTCTATCTAGTTAGTATCTACCATAAACCTCTCTTCTTGTTGTTGTTGTTATTGCAGTACAAGAGTTGCAAATGAATTAGGAGCTGGCAATCCGAAACAAGCTCGAATAGCTGTGTACACAGTGATGGTTATTACATGTGTAGAATCAGTAATGGTGAGCTCAACTGTTTATGGTACAAGAAACGTATTTGGTTACATATTCAGCTCTGAAACCGAAGTTGTGGATTATGTAAGCTCAATGGCTCCGTTGATTGCTTTGTCGGTCATATTTGATGCCGTTCGCGCAGTGCTTTCAGGTTAGAATCTCTTTCTATAATGTTAAAAGTTACTAAGAGACGAATTTAAGGATCAAATAATGTGATTAACTAAGAGGGATTGAAAGTGCAGGTGTGGCTAGAGGATCAGGGAGGCAAGACATAGGGGCATATGTAAACCTAGCAGCATATTATCTCTGTGGAATACCAACTTCCATCATATTAGCTTTTGTATTTAAAATGAGAGGAAGAGGACTCTGGATTGGGATCACAGTTGGGTCCTTTGTTCAAGCTTTTTTGCTCGGTGTTATCGTCGTCCTCACCAACTGGGAACAAGAGGTTAGTAATAAAGTTAGAGAGTGCAGGTGTCCTAACCTTGTTTCGTAGGTTTTAACTAGTATTAATTAATGTGAATGACACGTGGTGCAGGCGAAAAAGGCTAGACAAAGACTGATGTGTGAGGTGATTGAAGAAGTTGAAGAGAAGTGAGGAACACGAATTAGAGATCAGCCAAATCAAAAGAAGTCAATTTAATGTTGTGTTTGTTATTAATTGGATTTGTGGTTTTGCTGTTTGATATGATAATAATGACTTGAGAGGAAATAACGAATGTGCACATGCACACGTTTTGGCCTCTGCTGTCACACACATGTAGCATGATATGGTCTTCTTACCCAAAAAAAGAGGGAAACGGTACTTCATAAAGTTGTTTTTAAGTAAAGCTGTGCATTCATGATTGGAGGTGCATAATGTATGTTTAACGCATTGTCTATCATTATATGTAATGATTATAATATAAAACAAAATAATGTTGTAAGCACTCTATCTTAAGTTGTGATTATAAGGCTATCATTAACGGGATATTCTTTCAGATTTTAAAGTATTAAAATAACAACAAAATAATAAAACAGTAACATAAAATGTAGAAGTCGGGTCTTGGTTAACATCTTTTTGGTTGGGATGTTAGATGATGTGGCAAGTACTGAGTGGATCTTCTTTTATTATTCTCCAACTTCTCCTATTAATATATTAATTTACTGTTTCTAAGCCATATCCTCTCAGCTCTCTTGATAATGATGCCCTAAGCAACACATAAGCACCATTTTTAAAAAATTAATAAAAAAAAATGATTAACACTCTCCAAAGATGCTTACCATTGGAGGTGCTCTCAGGGGTGGACCCACAGCCAAGGTGGTGGGGGCAGATGCCACCAGAAAAAAAAAAAAAATTATTAAAAAATTATTAGAAAACAAAATCTGTCCCCACAAAAAAAAACTACTTTTCATCCTTTTTCTTGGAAAGCCCATTAATCCATGTACCAAAAAAAATATATATTAATATATAAATTAAAGACTTACTAATCTAAACCTAATTTTTTGTTATTTTCTTCTTCTTTATTCCTTTGGTTTCTTTGTGTGACAACAAATCAACAAATCAACAAATATCAATTTGTGAGTTTATTTTCCTGCTTTTTTTACAATTGTTTCTATTATATAAGCATTATTTTTTAGTCAGTTAATTTTATTTAATCAGTTCAAGCTTATAACTATGTTTCCTGGAAAACATTATATAGGTTTTTATGTTATACATGACTATATTAGTTTTTGCAGTGATAATTGTTTATATGTTTATTCTATGGTTAAGCTTTTATGGAAGTTTGTTACATAATTCAAAAATTTAAAATTAATAAATTTTAAAATATAAGTCTATAAATTCAAAATTTTCTAAATTTTTAATTAATAACATGTTTTTTTGGTTTTTAATTATTTGAATCTGTCACAAATGAAAATGTGGTAAAAAGGTTTCAATTGTTAAATGAGCGTCTGAGTGGTTTTGTAAGATGTTTTAAAGTTTTTACATGACAATTTTATGTCTTTTATAATTTAGTATTTGATAGTTTTTTACTATATTTTTGCCCCCATTGAACAAATTTTCTAAATCCGCCCCTGGGTGCTCTCACGTACGTTGGTCCTATGTATAACAACTAGTGTGATAAAGCCATGTAAATATATATGAAAAATCTGATGGTATCTTGATAACTAAAAAGTTAGCAAAATACATTTCAAATAAAGATAACTAAAAAATTAGTAAAATTCATTTCAGATAAACAACGCAAGCCTATATATAAAATACGAACTGGACCAATAATGCAACTTGTAAACATATAATATATAGAGACAATGAGCGTTTTTAATGCATATAATACCATATTAAAAGTTTAGTTATCAAAATAAGATTAAACATATATGATAACTGTAAGTTTAGTCACGAATATCAACTTAAGCTAAAAATATAGTCTGAATATGTTATCTCCTTTGTGAAAATATCAACTAAGCACTATATATGTTATCGGGATTCATTTCAAGAGCCTTTTCTCTCCGGGCATCAACATTAACTAACCACCATGCATGTTATTCAACTAACTACACCATGTTATCGAGATTTATTTATATAATCAATAAAATTATTAAATTAGTAATAGAGTTAATTTCATCATTTATGGTTTCAGAGGTGAGAGGACTAATTACAAACTATATGTTTTGGCAGCTTCTATGTATATTGTTTTACATAGCCTATAAAAAATGAAAATATACATTCTGTTGTGTTTGTTTTGTCAACCACTATATATTATTCAATCATAAAAGGAATAAGATAGATCACGTGATATTGTGCAAAGTTTAAGAAAATTCTAAGGATTGCTTATAATAATAAACCAGATCAGTGTACGTGGGTGCAACAAAATAAACAGAAAACCAACCTTATATTTTGCGATATTATTTATTATTACACAGAAAGTAAATAATTTGATTGACTTTTTTATTATTTATTATTTTTTAATTAATTTTATTGTATATATATTTTCGAATATTTACTTTTCAAATTCTTATATGAATAAAAAGATATGATCACAAGTACACAACCGGCGAACCAGCAAATTGTCTCCTGGGCCGGATTATAATACAAAACTCAGATAGGACTAGGAGACGGCTTTTGGATTTGTAAAAGTTCTGTGGCTTGTATCTCTACAAAAATACAACTTAGTGTGTGACATCTTCTCTCTCTAATGATCAATTAACATTAGATTATAACCCAGGGCCGATTAAACCATCCCACTACAGATCGTAAATATTGTATTTTTAACGTACTGGTGTGGGGCATCACAAGATTAAGCAAATTTAGTTAGTTTCCATCTTTAGTTAGTTCCTTGTTTTTGTATCACCGGTAGATATGATTTTATTGAAAAAGAAATGACAGCAAAAGGTGTGAAGCCACCAGCACATAAAATGCTATTAGAAAATCTATGTAAACGTTCTTTTTCTGCAGGAGAAGAAGAATATTGATACGACCAACGCTAACGCTAAATTCCAAAAAGAAAAAGAAAATAGAGTGAGAAACCACGAGTGTGTTCACAACGTCACATGAAAACACCATACTGTATATTCAAATAAAACCAAACATTGAAAACTGAAGTTTGTCTCAAGATCTCAGCGAAGACTTAAGAGAAGAAGAAAAACAGAAACTCTCATCCATTGATTTCAAATTAAGAGATATTTATTGAAGTATGGGTTATACCGGTTATTGCTGGTTATGTCTGGTTTAGATGTCCCATGTCGAGACGTTCGGTTACTGGTTATTTTGTGCAATTTGGAGAGTCCCCAGTTTCTTGGAAAACAAAGATACTGTTCAATACTCCCCAGTTAGTGGATACGTCTTCATTCTTTCTCTATCTTTTCCACGTTCTGTTCAGTTCCAAGTTTTTGTTGTGAGAATTGTGTTATGATAGTGTGAAAATCATATACAACTTTGTGGATATGTTCTTGTGGATACTTCCTGCATTTTGAGGTGAATGTTGTGTTTAGAGAATTATAAAACGTATATATATATAATGTTCATGTATTCGTGGAGTCATGATTTTCTTTGTTGTATGGAAAATGATGACATTAACACGGATAGAGAAGAGGAAGTAGAAAACGACACAAACTGAGAAGAGAAAGAAACAAGAAATATTTAAAAATTAATTAAAAAAAAAAGAAATATTAAAAAAATGATAACACTGACACGGATAGAGAAAAGGAAGGAGAAGACGACACAACCTGAGAAGAGAAAGAAACAAGAAGGAAACAAGTTCGTTACTGAGGTGTTGGTCCAACGTATGAAGACAAGGAAAGCTACGAACCAATTAAATTCACTACAACTCTTTTCCAGCGGTGCGACTATTGTTGAGACACATCTTGAGGAAGAAGCTGACGTGGCCAAACATGTAGTGGCAATGTGATTCTCTGCCCACGTTTCATGTTCTTAGGAGTTTGTTATGTTTTGTGTATTTTTAAACATCTAGTCTATTGTAGAATTATTATGAAAGAAATATTGTCTTAGAAAGTTGAAAACCGAATATTAATTTTCTAGTTTATTTGAAAAATGTTTTCACACCCACCTCATACAAAATGTCTTACAGTTGAATAAAGATGATTATGTATAGTCAAAGTGTTATGAATAAAGATGGGAAGTAGAATCCGCATGTTAAGTTATGCATATGGTATGTGGTGTTTATGTGGATGTTATTGTATTTATGGATGCATTATCATGGATGGGTCATATGGATGCAAAATTATGGATGTGGATGCCTAAACATGTCTCTTTGTATAAACGATTTTGTGGACTTGATTTTATTAAATACTCTATACTCTTGAAATTCATGAGCCAATTGTAAAACAAACTCTCATAGATTGACAATGCCTCTTTGAATAAACCATTTTACAAACAAATTTTTTGGTTTAAGGAAAAATCTTGAGACTTTTTAAGTACAAATGGGAACTTGTTTAATAATGCCTTGTGGAGAAAGAAAGAACCATATATTCCATTTAAAAATATTAGTATAGAGATTAGAGACTGATTCGGTATTTCCGTTAATGTGAATCAAATCTCAAGGTCTCAGTGAAGATGCATAGAAGAATGGATTCGATGGAGAAGGGCTTGCTTGTGGTGAGCAAGAAAGATGGTCTTTTGCGGGAGATGAAGAGACTTGGTTACATCGCTGGTCGTCATATCCATCATGATGGTTTGGTCATCTCGGTGAATCTACCACCATTATCATTTACAGTGGAATACAAATAATTATTCATAAATTAGAAAATTATAGCCACATAGTGATTGATGTTTCGAGAATTATCGTGAATATATGAGGCTTGATAATATATTTACATTTTTAGCCACCCGCTATGCGGGAAAACGATTTCCTTAATTGGTACCAACTGCACCAACTGCACGGTGCTTAATATTAAAGCTGATAATAGACTGATTGTGGAAAAACCAATAAACATCTTACACTCCAAAATAAAATAATTAAAAAAAAAAAAAAAAAACATCTTACACTCCGCAAGTCCACATCCATCACAAACTATAAACATTGTATTTATGTATTAGTAGCTTCACACTTCACTAGATCAAGGAACTTCATAATATTTTCCATCTTTTCGTTCTTGTATGTATCAAGCATCAACAAAAAGATGAAAATGCATAAAAATATTGTTACTAGCTAGTTAACCAAGCAGTGGTAATCTGCTGGTAAGAATTAATTTTGAGGGAAGTTGTAAATCCACCGGCCTTGAATTCTAATTCCGGCCGGGAACTAAGTTCACATTGGTTGGCCAAACCTTAGAGGCCTCATTTATAAACCCGGGACTGGACCATTCATACGTAGTTACTCTAGCGTTGGAGATTAATTGTGCCTCGACCCCATATCACGTCTAGGTCAACAAACAACAACACGTTGTTACTAATTGCTGCTTTAAAGGCTACTAAAAACATTCTGAGGTGGTTGAACG